TGCCGGGCTCTTTCCCCGGAAAAGAAAAGTGCCGGTGGGGCCCCGCTCGTCCCGGAGGGGAACGCGTAGGGCTCGTTCCTCCCGGTGAGCTCGAGCTAACGAAGGGTCGCCCTGGGAGTCGTTCCCTCCGACCCGAGCACCGCAGCAACGCCGCCGAGCCGCGGCGGCCCGTTAGCGCGAGCAAGAGGGAAAATGAATTTTGGCCCCGGCAAGGAACGGCGTCCTCGGCCGTTTTCGCGGAAATGGTCGATCGTCTCTCGAACGATATTCCCAGGTCCCGCGGACGGAAGAGCAAATACGGTCGCATCCTAAAGGGAAGAGCGGGAAAGAGAGCCCCGGCATCTCCTTCGGAAGGAAGAAAGGATGGAAGGAAGGAAGGAAGGAAGTCGGGATGGAGATGTACGCGTCGCTGAATAACATGCAAATTGAATACTCCCACGGCGGGCGCGTCTCAAAGACTCAAAGACTCGGAGGCGGGTTAAGCTCTCTCGCGAACTCGCGCCGGTGACTCGCGGGGCAACGCGGATCGGCCGAGTCGCGAGCGAGCCGGAATTGCTCTCGATCGAGCCACCTACGGTTCGCGAGCGCGTCTCGTTTGGCCGATCGGCCCCCCCGGGGGAGGGGAAGAGAGAAGCGAGATCTTGAAACGGATGAACCGGTCGACCTGCTCTTCTCCTTTCGGCCAAAAAATGGAACCGCTTCCGTGGCGCCGAAAAAAGGGGGCTTCCAAAAGTAATCCGAAAGTCCTCGGGCTGCAATATTCCGGGAAATTTCGACGACTCCTCCCGCGCTTGTTCACCTCTAGCGACGACGAGACGACGAGGAAACGGAACGACTTGATTCCGCCCGATCCGATTCCACGAGCGGACGCCACGGAATTAATTAATATTCATAAACTGGGAAGAACTGCGGGGATTAGGTTTTCCTTCGATTCGTGAACGCGAGCGTTCTGGTCGATGTCAAAATCTGAGCGAAATAGTCGGATGATACGCCCGGCATGGAAATTCGTTTTCCCGATACTCGGCGCTCGCGCGTAATCGATCGAATTTTAATAAAATCCATGTTAATTGGAATTCAATCCGCGGACGCTACTCGATGATGCATAACTTTTCGATTCAACCATTTTCGCTCAAGTAATTGGATGCGGCTGCCACCGCCACCACCGCGGGGTTTAATGTAGCGTCACGTTCCCCCGATATCAACCTCCCGGTTCAGGCGAAACAACGGAAGATGCCGAACTTCCTGACGCGACGACGCATCGGTGGACCGACGGTTTACCGCATAATCAGGCTCTACGGGAAACCTGACGATAAATCGGACTCTCGGGCGCGATTCGTTTCTTCGAAATTGGAAGATTTTCCAGGGCGACTCTCCGGTCAGACGCGGATTCGTCCGCTGCCCGAGCCTCGGCGGGGGGCTTTGACCTCCGCCGTGGTGCTTCCGATTTCCGGTCGGCTCGAGGAAGGAACGAAGGAAGGAACGGAGGAAGGAGTCGGCGACTTACGATGGCGGTAACGACCCATCCCGGGTACTTCGCGAACGGGGATCTTTTCTCGGACGTAAAGAGAGGGCGGAATGAAACCGTCCCCCTCGCGAGTCGGCCTTGACCGATGCTTCCCACTCGTTCCGGGCGGCTCGCGACTCGAACCCGGTCGATCGTTCGGCGGGAAGCGATTCCGTTTGATCCGAAGCTGGAATAATAACGAGAGACCCCGGGGAGCTCGGGGACCTCGCGAGGGGGAACGCTCTCCGGGTCCTCGAGGAGTCGGCAAACGCGCGCTGGTCCACTCGGGGACGGGTGGCGGTATTTGCATTCGATTCCAAGTCGACTCGGACTCGGCAGCGAGGGGCCCGAGGTACCCGGGGTACCCGGGGTACCCGGGCTGCTCGGGCTGCTCGGGCTGCCCGTCGAATCGACGACTCCTGGCCGAGTCCACGGGCGCCTCCCGATCGGCTGGCCACGTTTACGGCCAGTTCGGCTAAATTGGATCGCCGGGCAAATTGGACCGCCGCGGCCGAAAGATATCCATGTCGGTCCGCCAATTATCGGCGCGAGGACGAACCTCCAGCCGACGGTAAACGCGTGGCATTCTTTAACGACCGTTTCGAGCGCGAGTCGCTCGTCCCCTGAGGAAAGAGTTGCCTCCCCTTTCGATACCACCGGGCGTTTCTCTGATAATTACCCCGTCGACTCTCCCTCGCCCCGCGTCATCGCGGACGAAACCCCATCGGGGAGGATTTTGCGAAATTTGCCGCAACCCTTGCCGAACGGTGCCGAGGTCCAATCGATAGGCGCGTATCATTTGGCGCGCAAACCAACGGGGTCGTTTTTCCCCAGAGAGGCCCTCGAAAAGCCGGCTACTCTTCAGGGCCGGGCGCGGCGTGCCCCTTTCATTGCGCAAAAGTTGATAAAGCCTTTGGAAATCGCCCGGGGTATTTTGTATCAATTTCCGAGCTTCATTCCATATGTGAGTGCATTGTGCGCCCCGAACAATAACTCATCCCGATATTGCTGGACCGGTCCGCCGCGCGTTTCCTCCGCGCCGGCACGTCGATGCCAATGATTATCGGCCGGTCTCGCGATCGCCCCGGCGGAAAGGGAGTTCCCTTCGGCTCCCTTCCGATTCGCGTCGCGTGAGCCCCCTCGGCTCTCCTATCGCCCCTCCCTCGAGGACCCCCGGGTACGAGGATAGCCTTTTAGTCCGACTCGTCGCATTAAGCCGCAATTAAAGGTAAAAGCGCCAAAGACCGCTCTTGCCGGCGCGACGACCCGCGGCGGATTTCTCGAGAGCGGTCGGGACCGCGGTTCTCCCTTCGTCTTCCGCGATTCCAGCTCGACTCGTCCACGGTCCATTCCGCGAGCGCGGGGGCTAGAGACGGCAATATTCAAATACAACACCGGCCGCGAGGTCTGCGCTCGAGTGGACGGCAAACACTCCAACTCGGCCGGATAGATGCGTCCGCGCCGCAATCAAAGAGTAGGCGCGAGCTCGCGAAGGAGCGGCCCCCGCGATTCCGTCCGCGACGCGGTCTTCCGGAAGGGCCTATAGACCTTACTTAACCGGTCCGGATCCGTCCGGGCCGTCGGTCCCCGGAACGGAAAATTATTTATCCCGCGCGGGCCCCTCCCGGGAAGAGCATCCTCCGGTATTCAGAATTTCATCGACGCGATGCCTCCCCTCGGGTCTCCGCGCGAGACGTATCCCGCCCTCCATAAATCATTCCCAATAAAGGCGCCGGCAGACGGGGACGCGCGTCCTCGAAGCGCCTCCATGCTAATTCCGCCGCGAGCGAGTCGATACCGACCCGACTAACCCAGATTTACCCGACCCGAGGCCGACCCGCGTCCAACTCGCGGCCGGATCCGCGTGCGGATCCGTCCGACGTGCCCTCCCCGTGCCCGTAGAGGCCGCCGCCGTTACGGCCGATTAAAGTATCGTAAAGGCATCGCGCGGAGACGAGACGTTAGGAGGGGTCGGGCACGCCGCGCCGACTGCCGCCAACTGGCGTCTCGCCGCCGCCACCGCCGCCGCCACCGTCGCCGCCGCCAACTGGCGTCGAGGGCGTCCGAGCGGTCCGATCGCGCGCCATCGAACCCCACTGGTCGGCATTCCCTCTCGCAGGTGCTTCACCGACGAAGCGGGAAAGGAGAAGTCGTCGGAAGGAGGCGGTGATTTTCTCCGGGCGCGTAGACACGCACGCGCGGAGAGAGAGGCGAGGACGGCAGGTGTTCCTTCGAGCAGCTGCAATCACGACCGCGAACGCCATCTGCCCGAAACCGGCCCCGGGACTGCCCGGGACTGCTCGGGACGCGTCTTCTCTCCGACGCCCCGACGCCCCGACGCCCCGACGCCCCGACGCCCCGACGCCCCGACGCTTTTCCGTCCGGTTTCTCGCTCGTTGTGTTCTCTCCGAGCGTTTCTCCGTTCCTTCATCCGAAACTTTCGGAAGAACGTCGCCGCTGCGGGTCGATCGAAACGGTCTCGATTTCGATGAAATTCCAATTCCCATCGATTCCGAGACGGAACGTTCCTGTCTGTGTTTTTTGTGCGATTGCTATGAACTGTAACACGTGAGGAAAAAAATTTGTGTAAAAAACCGTACCCACCCTTCCTTGAAAATTTGAATTTGCGACACGTACGTTACACCTGACGTTATACCGAGTACGTCAAGCTACGTGTTGGGTATCTCCTTCCATGTAGATTTTATGTGTTCCCTAGGAAACGTTCATTATTTTTTTATTAATTTCCGTAGCTTATCAAAAAATGTATACAAAGTAGAACTCAACTCTCGAGCACCCACGTGTAGTTTTGCCTGTATCATTTGTGGATAAAATAAATAAGGTAAGTAAAGGATAAAGTCAAATAGGGCGTCACGAGTATTCTTCCCTTACCGTCAAAATCGAGCAGTGTCGATAAGCATAGGTAAGCCACCACCGTCAACTGCCTCATGGTATTACCATCACGAGTACGTGAGCCACCAACGGCGACTGGTAGATGGTACCGCCATCGCGAGTGCGCGAGCTCCTATCAGAAATTCGTTGCGCCGCCCTTGGCGGCAAAAAACGGTGAAAGCTAACGTACGAAACCAGAGGGCAGCACAGGATGCGATCGCACGACCCTGCCCGTGAACAAACTCCCAACTCATCTTTGGAGCGCGTCCGACCCGTTTCTTTGCGACTTCGAGGCCGCCGCCACGACTTCCACAAATCGGAGAGCGCGTACTTACGTCTGGCGCCATCTGCCCTCCAACCGGGACACTCGCGGACGATATAACTCGGTGGATAACTCGCTTCGAGATTCCTGTACTGGATTTCGTGAAACGGTGTTGGACTAAATCGGGGAATCGAGAAGCACGATTTCTCCGAATTTCTCCGGATGTTTACGTGGCGAGTCCTTCCGACTCGTCCGGCTTATGTAAATATCGCGATTACGCGCGAGAAGGTCCCACGACCGCGGACAGAGAAAAGGGGGGTTTAACGGACTTTATCCCCACGAGACGCGAACCAGTGCCGCGAAATCTTCCGGGCGAGGAAGGCAAGCGATCGGGAATCCGGGAATCGGCTCCGGTGGGCCGAGAGAGGGCGAGCGTCGCGGCGCAGGGCGCCTATATCGACCGACGATGGACGCGGGGAGCGGCGCAGCCGCGGACGCGACGCGCCCCGCCGGCACCTCCATCCGCGACGTCGTCCGGCTCTGGATCGACGCCCTGAGGATCCACGACGCGGAGCCCGTCCCGCGGACTGCCATGGGGAACCTCCAGAGCGAGGGCAAGAAGAAAGCCAGGAAGTCGAGAGGCTCCGCCGGGACCGAGCCGGAGCCGGCGAGCGCCTCCTTCGAGCGAGTCCACCCTCCGACCAAGAGACCGGCCCCGAAGCCGCCGGGGCCGCCGGGGCCCCACTCGCGCCAGGTGAGCGAACCCGCCCGGCGAGAGGTTTCGTCGACGTCGGTAAAAAGGATTCTTTCGCGCGTCTACGTTACCGGCGCTCGTGTTTACACCGAACCGGGCAGCCCGGGCAGCCCGGGCAGAACCGGGGGAATCGGGGAACGGTTGCGGGTGATCGAAGTCAATTGGTCGTTTCGGGCAGGTGACGACGGCGGAGCCTCTTCCTCTCCTCGTGACCGACTCGTGGCGGCGGGCCAACCGGCCCGCGCCCGGGACCCCGACGCCGCCCAGCCAGCAGTCGTCCAGCGACAGCGTCTTCACGGATCCGGAGGACGCGATGCTCGTCGCCGCGGACTCGGCTCCCGCGGCCCTGAATCTGCCCCGGGACTCCAAGCCCGAGTGGTCCCCTCGAGTACAGGGGCAGTTCACCGTCTCCAAGCACAAGAGGATCGAGCTGTCCCCGGCCTCGCCTCGACTCGGTAAGGCCGGGTCTCTTCCGAGTATCCGTCCGGCTCGGCGCCGAGTCGATGGGGTCGTCCTCGAGCCATTCGGCCGGCTCGAGAAAGAGACTCGGGGGGGTCATCCTTGTCGCTCTTTGCAGGAGTCCCGACGACCCCGACGTCGGCGAGGAGGTTCAGCGCGTACGAGTCGAGTCCCGATGGCGGCACCGTGCTCAGGAGGGTGGCCAGCCTCACTCTGGACCGGGCGACCTTGGAAGCCAGATCCCACGCCAGACCCAGGACCGTGCCCAGAAAACTGGACTTCAAGATGTACGACAAGTTCGAAGGTGAGGAGACCGCCAAATTCTTGCGAAACGAGTCCCTCGCTCGATCTCCCCGTCTTAGACGTCGGCGAGGGAACTCTGGAAGACTCGCGCGCTTTTGGGAACGAGCGTCGAGGTTTGTGGTCTGCGGGCCCGCGTCGGTCCCTCCGTCGGTCGGGGGGGGGGCGATACCGAAAGCCAGATACCGGGGACCCCAGCCGATAAGGTGCACTCGTTGCGATAAGGGCTACTCCCAGACTCCAGGGACGCGGGAAAAGGAGCGTTAACCGTTAAAGGGGAACGTACCACGATTTGAGCCCATAAAAAATGTGCCGGAATTTTTTAATCGATTTTTGGCCCGATTCTCGCCCGCGATTGAATTTCTTCTTGTCTCTTTAGGACAACATTTGCTGAATTGGCTGACGAGCGACGTGGCCGATCACCTCAAGGGACCCTTGTCGGAACTCGAGGGCAAGAAACTCGTGGCATCGTTTTGCGAACGATTGGTGACCGCTGGGGTCTTGAAACCGCTTCCGGAAAAGGGATCCGCAAGGAACGCCGACTTTACGGTAAGGAAACTCCCCCTAAACGGCACACGATTCGGGAGAATTTTTCATCCAAAGAACGGTTCCTCGCTCGCCGAGATAAAAAAAAAAAGTCGTACGTATAATTATTCCAGCCACGCGAGAATTAATTCGCGGCGTAACGTTTCAGTCGGAGCAGATGTACTCCTGGGCGCACCAGGAAACTCCTTCGCCCCTCGAGGAAGTCCGGGAGAAATCGACTTCCGAAAAGTCGGCCTGGGAGTCCGCGAGGCGTCTTAGGGAGGAGCTCGAAAGTTTGCGCTCCGAGGTCGAGAGACTTCGCAAACTCGTCAAGGAATCCCAGACGCGCTGCGAGGGCAGGTCCACGCAGACTTCGCCGACTTTGTTGTCCCCTGTTCGAGCTGCCAAAGCGAGTTCACCCAAGAGCAGGACCCACGAAGGCATCAAGACTCCTGACAAAAGTTGCGAAAGCGGTAGGTTTACCGCCACCTCCGTGGACCTCTCACCGATCCTCTCGGAAAAGACGTTCTCGTTTTTATTCGAGGATTCAAAAAACGACGCTGCCATGGTGTCCGATTTGTCCTCGTTAGACGAACGGCATCGGTCGAGAGACCCTCGCGATACGTCGAACGTTTCGAAACGAGCCGGTGGGGTGGTCGGCAGGACCGATGACGAACCTGATGAAAAAGAATCGCCAGCGGATAACGAAGTCCAAGATTCTTTGGGATCGGCGAGGAAGACGTCCGACGATACCGAAGGGCCCTTGGGACAGGTGGTGGCAAGAGGGTCTCCGTCGAGTGGAAGGAGTCGGACGTTAGAAGGAGAATCATCGGCACCGCCGCCCATGCCGGAAGGTCCAGTATCTGGTTTACCTCCACAATTTGATGGACCACCCGCCCCACCGCCTCCTCCTCCTCCTCCTCTTCCTCCATTACCTCTGGAATACTCGGTTCCCCCGCCTCCACCTCCACCTCCACCTCCACCTCCACCTCCACCTCCACCTCCGCCGCCCCCGCTTCCAGGAGCTGGATTTCCTCCGCCACCTCCTCCTCCTCCTCCTCCATTTCCTAGCACAGGAATTCCTCCGCCGCCTCCGCCACCTCCGCAACCTCCTCCTTGTCCTGGAGCTGGAATTCCTCCGCCACCGCCTCCACTTCCAGGGGTTGGGATCCCTGCGCCACCTCCACCACCCGGTACGGGATTTCCGCCACCGCCTCCTCCACCTGGAGGAATTCCTCCACCACCTCCTTTTCTGGGAGGGTCGGGACCACCGCCTCCACCTCCAATGGGTGGTCCAGCCTCGCTGCCACCTCCGCCAGTCGGTGGGTGGAATCCACCTAGTCGAGCCGGTGAGTGAATCTTGTCGTTGACATCGTTCCGCGTTATATCTAACACAAGTCCGGCCTAAAAGTATTTTCGGACGTGGGAGTAAATATGTCCAAGGTGACGATACCGTTCAGCATTCTTTACCTCTTCCTTGTCAGGAATGAGGAAACAACCTCTGAATCCCGATGTCCCCATGAAGCCACTGTACTGGACAAGAATTCTGGTCCCAGCAACCGCGGTCCCGGTTACCACCGTCGAAAGTCCCGATTCCCCTCCAGAAGTAAGAAATCCCATCCCTTGTTCTCGATGGCGTATCCAACGATCGATATCGTAACGAAGACCGTTGTTTAGGTTCCCCTGTGGATGGAAATAGAAGAGGAACGGGAGGTCAACATGAAGGAGTTCGCCGAGCTGTTTTCGCGACAAGTGGCCGAGCGGAAGCCGACCAAGAAGACGAACGAGGCCGTCTGCTCCTCCAAGGTAGAACCGGTGAAAATCCTAGACTCGAAGAGGTCTAAGACGGTCGGCATCTTGGAGAAGAGTCTACACGTTGACTTCAACGAGGTGGAAAACGCAATTTACACTCTGGATACCAGCGTGGTCAGCTTGGAGGCCTTGCAACAGATTTACGAGATCGTAAGTGGCGTTCTCACCCAAAGGCGCGATACCCGACCGACCATCAAAGAAACGATTCGTTTGACCGATTTGGTAGAGACCGACTCCCAAGGAACTGGAAGAGATCGCCAACCACGAGCGGACGCATCCGGACGTCCCCCTGGATCGTCCGGAAATGTTCCTGAAAAGGCTCTCCGGCATCGAGCACTTCTCCGAGAGGCTTACCTGCTTGATGTTCCAACCCGAGTTCCAGGACGCCGTCTCGACGGTCTCCACCAAACTGACTAACCTGCGCGTAACCTGCGATTACCTGAAAAATTCGAGTTCCCTGAAAAGGGTGATGGCGACTATCCTGACTCTGGGAAATTACATGAACGGTGGGAACCGGATGAGAGGTCAGGCCGATGGCTTCGGCCTAGAAATACTCGGCAAGTTGAAAGATGTCAAGTCGAAAGTTCCGGGGATTACGTTGTTGCACTACGTGGTAAGGGCGAGATTAGCGCAAGAGAAGGACTGCAGTTTTGATGAACCGTTACCGTTACCGGTTCCAGAGCCAGCCGACGTAGAGGCGGCTTCTACTATCAGTTTTGAGGACATTACCAAGGAGCTCGACAGGCTCGAGAGAGAACTCGAGGGTAATTATTTTTCCTCGTATGGATTTCCCTTGAGCTCTTCTTTTTTCAAAGGTGAACGGTCAAAAGTAATCATTTTCTTGCAGCTTGCAAAGTCAAGAGCAAAATCGTCGAGGCATCGGAGACCGAATCCGGGGGACCCTTCGCCGAGAAGATGAGCGCCTTTTTGACCGGAGCCGTGACGGAACTGGCAAACGAGAAAGAGGGTCTTCGAGAAGCTAAGCTCAAGTTCAAGGCCGTCATGCAATTTTATCAATACATCCCGAAAGGTGCTACCCTTGAGACGGCGGATCCGCATGATTTTTTCGCACTTTGGATCAGCTTTTGTCAAGACTTCAAGGTACCGTAACCACGTGACATCGTGGCAAACGTCGTCGACTCGTCAATAAATCAAAGTATATGATAATTTCAGGACATTTGGAAAAAGGAGCAGCAACGCCTGAGGAAAGAACGCCTTGAGGAAACGCGGAAGAAATATGGATCAAGAAGACACATTGAGAAGCCATTAAAAAAGAGCGAAGGTGGCTTGAAAGCTCGACTGCAAAAGCTCGCTGGAAAGCGGTAAAATTTTGAAAACTGGTGCCAGCATCGAAAAGGCAAGATTCGAAGTTCAGTTTTTTTTTTACCCGAGATTGCCACGGTTTGAAAATCTTCATATCATGGATAACAGCGTGACATCGTTAAGTACAGGGCAGAAGCACCCACCCTAGCCCAATGTACGTACTTCGGGTCTAGCGATAATAATCTTGTGAAAAAAATTAATTTCGAATCTTAACGTCGCAATAATTTTGTCAGCCTTCGTGTCTATGAGGCTTTAGCTTATGCACGTTGTCATATTAGGTGCAGCCTACTCGTGTTTCTTCGGCGATAACTTATACATGAAAATTGTAAATACATATTTATTGAACGATTAACATTAAACGAAAATAAGATTTTTTGACCACCTTCGCATAAAAATTGCTCGGAATTCGCGTAGATTTTCTTACCATGATCAAAAAGCAGGACACGCGGTAATAAGAAATACGATGAAAGTAGCGATACCGAATCGTTTACTATGACGGGTCATAAAATATAAAATAACCCGTAAGTAGATAATCTTACTTCTTCGATCTTGCACACCTTAATTCTAAATGCCGTAAAAAATTGATTATAATCTTTTCTTAATACGAGTTATTCCACGGTACATCTATACCCATGTATCCGCGCAATCTTAAAAGAATAATGATTTATCACAGAAGGGTTAGGGTAAACGCTCCGTTTGTCCGTTCCAATAGCAACAATGATTCGATGATGCCGAAATATCCGCACATGGCATATACGAAATACCCCTAAACTACTACTATTTTATTTAATAAAATGGTCAACCGTGCCCTCATTCACGGCATTTGTATTTAACGAGTGCTCCCTCGAGCACCCAATCCACGATTTGCCGTAATTACCCCATAACGAGCTACGGTACGTTTCCCGTGTTTCAGAACAGAAAGAACAAATCCAGATTAGCGGCCAGGAAATCTGGTTCTAGGAATGAAATATCTGACCGACGATGGCGAAACTCCTGACGGCCGAGGCCATATCGGAAACGTCATCGCCAGAGTGCACGTGCAAACTAGGACTGCCAACGGTAGCTGCAGCTACCGCATGGGTGTTCATCCTTTGCACGTTATCTACATAGGTTTTGTTCGTTTGAACGCCTAGTACGTTATTTGCGTTACCTACGCGATGGGACGGGGGTACGTTCGAAAGTATAGGAGCCACGACGGGGCTCGCAACGATCGCGGTATGAGACTGGCAATAGTTCTGCGTATCGTGACCAGTTTGCCCAGGCACGGGCTGATAGCTACTGTACTGCGCCTTGCACTTCTTCTCGTGAACGAAGAGACTCCCCGAATGGCTGTAAGCCGTTCCGCAAATTTTACAGGCGTAGGGTTTCTCCCCGGTGTGCGTGAACTTGTGCTCCTTCAGATACTTCAATCGTCTGAAAGATTTCCCGCACGTTTTGCAATGGTAATTCGCTTCGCCGGTGTGGGTCGTGATGTGTGCTTTCAGGGTGCAGGACTTTGCGAAAGCCGCGCTGCAGAAGTGGCAGACGAATGGCCGGTCCCCTGTATGCGTCCGCTCGTGGTTGATACAGTTAGAGTTAGAAGTGAACCCTCGGCCGCAATACTTGCACACGTGTGGCTTGTAACCGGTGTGCGTCCTCATGTGGAACATTAGGCCGGTGTTCTGTCTGAAGGTTTTACTGCAGATGTGACACAGGAATCGCTTGAAATTGGAGTCCTCTTGCTCCTTCGCCCGCTCGTGGATTCTTGTGTGTTTTTGTAGTTTCGATTCCTTTTCAAAGGATTTATTGCATTCGTCGCATGAGAAGGGCTTCGCCTTCTCGGAACCTCCATCGGGAATCTTCTTGTCGTTACAGCTGCAAACCTCTCCACAAGCCTCGCAGGGACTCTCGGGTGACGCGTGAGCGTTTGCTCTGTGCTTTATCAACGACTTCCTTGTAACGTAAGATTTACCGCAGATGTGACAAGAAAACCCTTTACCTTCGTTGTCCGAGTCCAATTCTTCCCTTATCCAGCTGTTTATCAACTTGATCGCGGATTTATCGTCGGCAGGTTTTTCAAATTCCGTGCACTCTGTGTATTCGTCGTGACCGTGTCGCTGCTTGTGACTCTTTAACCGATCCTGTCTAAAAAACTTCATATTGCACACATTGCAGACATATTTCTTTTCGTCGTGTATCAACACGTGCCGCTGCAATGATTTCTCAGAGGTATAATATTTTGTGCACTGTTGACATCGATACAGTGGAACGTAGTTGAAGGAATCGGTGTCGATGCTGATATCGGTTTCGGAATTAGGTGCCTCCTGGTTGTGATTGGAATCATTCGAAATTTCGGGAACCTTCTTCGGAAAATTCTTCTCGAAACTCTTGTCTTCGACTTCGCGACGAGTTTCTTTCTTTAGAATATTCTCATCCTTTGTCGAATGCTTTTCTGGGTCGGAACACACTTCACCGTTTTCCTGTTTTCTCCTTTCTCTCAGTTCTTTTAAAATAGAAAATACTTCCTTCGGGTTTGCCTTTTTATGTACGTTCAAATGTCTAACCATGGTATCTAGCTTTCTAAAACTTTTATTGCAAATGTTACAATCTACGGACTTAGGCTTTTCCTTAGATTCATGTAATTTACCATGTTCCAACAATTTGTCCTGTCTCAGGAATTGTTTCTCACACTTCTCACATTTAAATTTGTCGTTCTTGTGAGTCAAAACATGTCTGTCTAATGACTTTTTACTGGAATATGACCTGTTACATTTAATACATTCGAGAAGGGGTTCGGTTCTATGATTCGACTCCCTTTTGGGTCTACGTCTCAAATTATTTCTAATCGGTGTCATGTTCTGATCAAGGAATTCATGCTTTGCGTTAACATTTTTCTTAATAAATTGTCTTTGCCTCTCCTTAGAATTTTTTAAATTTTCCATTGATGTTATCCTTTTAAACATCGATATTCGCCTTGTTTTTAAGATCTCCTTTCTCATTAACATTCTCCTTATTTTCATCTGCACCCTTAACTTCTTCTGAACAACGAACAAAGGTATTTTCTCTTCGAGTTCGTCGTGCTTCCCATAAGGAAATGGAGAAAATGTTTTCTCTGCGGTATCGGAATTGCTGTCAATATCTGAAACTGCATCTTTGTTTCTTGATGTTATCGGGTGCTCCATTTTAACACCTTCCAATTCCGAGAAAGGTTCTGTCTGAGACCATTGATCCTAAAATACAAAAGTCAAAAAGTAACGTAGCGAAAACAAGACTAGAACCAGGGTTCCGATCGAGTTGGTTAATTCTATAAGAACAAAGCGATACAGCCAAAGGTTCCATTTGGTAAACCTGTCAAACTCACTTTCTGTCTATCCGATCTGTGTGCATCGATAGGAATCCCATAAAGTTTCCGAAGCTTTTCGTCAGCCCACTGACACTGTTCACGTAATTTATGGGCAAGGTTAATCTTTGATATACAGTCAAAACAGATTCCATCAGGGAGCCCATCGTCTTTAAGAATCTATCAAGAATAATCAAAAGGGACGAACAATGTAAAATTCCTAGATGCTTACTTCATATAAACTGCATTTATTCCAATATAACAAACCTGTATACCGCCACAGACTCGGAGCTTCTCGGATAAGTTGAGGTTAGAACTCCTCTCAGGATCGTCCGCGTTTATTCGAAATATGGATAAGTTATTTTTTTTCCGCGAAAGGCACACTCTACAGAGCCTGTCGATCCCTTCGGGATCAGCCGGCAAACTCTTCCTTTCCATTTTGATTTTCATTCGGACTCAGTATCATTGAGAAACCTCTGACGCTTGCGATTAAAAACAAGTTCCGAACTAAAGAATAGTGGAGAACACCCAAATCAGAGATGAGTTGAGAGATTCACGGGAAGGATCGAGCGACCGCGTCCTGTGCGACCTCCGGTGGAGGCAGAGATGAGTTGGGACATAATGGTAAGCCACCACCGTCAACTGCCGCATGGTATTACCATCACGAATACGTGAGCCGCCAACGGCAACTGGTAGATGGCACAGCCATCGCAAGTGCGCGAGCCCCTACCAGAAATTCGTTGCGCCGCCCTTGGGGGCAAAAAACGGTAAAAGCTAACGTACGAAACCAGAGGGCAGCACACGATGCGATCGCGCGACCCTGCCCGTGAGCAATCTCCCAACTCATCTCTGTTCATCTCTGGTCTATTTAAGTGGCGCCACCCGCGTCTTGTGGTTGCGAATGGAAGTTCGAAACGCTCGGCATGGTAGTTGGATCGCCGCACGGCGACCGCGAGAAGTTCTTCCAATGAAGATGGAGGTCGTCCGATGATCGAGTAGCCTGGATTGAATCCACGTTTGGCATCGATTTATTCGCTGGGATCGATACGGAATCATCTGCCAATCCTCGGAATCGGTAAAACCGTTCACGGACGGAATAACAGAGCAAAAATAAGCGCGACTCAGGCCGATTTTCGTTGTGCAATTTGAAGGAGAGACGTCGCCACCGCGTTCACGAAGCGCATTCGAGAATCTCGAGGATCTCTACGCGAATTTCACGGTCTCCTCGTGTTTGCTGGTGACCTTCGAAGAAGGAAGAGTGGCAAAACGATGGATCTTCCAGAACATAAAATCAGCACTAATTTCTGCTAAAAGCCTGACTTCTTATTTGCTTGTTTCCTCGTATAGCCTAAAGATCCTTGGGTAAGAAATTTCAAAGGAGGAGAAGGATTTCTTATTTACGCACGCAGGACATTTAGATCGAAGGGTTTCTAATGATTATTCGCAATTCATTTTGACTGAGTTTTCGACTTCGATGAGGAAGATAACGACGTGGGTATATAAGTTAGTTCCATGTCGGCAATAAGGTGCCTGCGAGTCGAAGCATTCGATCGACGGAGTTGATGGTTCGTAATCTTATTAGGTAATGCTTTGCAGTTGAAAAAATATCTTCTATGGTTCCATCAAATAGGCGTCTGTAATTTAAACCAAGCTTGGAGATTAAAATTTGTAACAATGTAAGGTTAAAAGATTCAACACACGAGAATTATTTAGATTTAAAGTTGTCATTGAAATTGAGTTAGGCAACGATGCTTCACAATCATTGGACAACGTTATAAAGGATGTTCGCTAAATGGGTTATAAGGATTGTATTCCTGTTTCAGAAAATGAAGACAATAAAGGCAAAAAATAAACCTAAAAAAAGCAGTGGGAAATTCAGGAGAATGAAATTTGAGAATAAGAATTCAAGTTTTGAAACAAATCCTGATTTAACTCAGTTGCGCAAACCTGTTGACCTCAGTGTGTCCAGCTTATTGCAAGTTTCCAAGCTATTAAGTATTGGCAGTGAAGAGGTTAAGGGCATACTTGTCTATGAATGCGACATCGTCTATGAGTGCAGAGTTTGCCGGAGCTTATTTAGAAGTCTTGCCAACCTTATCTCGCACAAACGTGTCTATTGCAAAGAAAAATGTAATTTAACACGCTACAGGGATTGCATAAAATATGATTACACGGTTTGTTTATTAAAATTCTCTATCCATTGCTCTCATCGTGACAACATTCTGAAGGTTAATGTACTCTTGAATAAATATTTTTTTAGGTTCAAGACAAGTCGTCTCTAAACAGTCTGCATGAAAATATTGATGACATCTTAAAGGAAGCTGACAATGCCAGGGTATTGAGAAGTCAAACACCTAAAGTCTCTGGTGTCCCGAATGGTCCCGACAAAGATTTAACATCCATTGTAGATGCGATTCAACAGCAGCAAAATGAGGATTCCAATGATAATGTCCTGCCAACTCCAATAAATGAAAAGACTGGAAAAAATTCTATATCTAATAGCGATTGCATGCTTTTGGAAGAAGTCGAATCAAACTGTGTCGCGATGTATCAGACAATGGTGAAACCATTAGAAGCAAATGGTCAAATAACAAGTGATAATATGAAAACTCAAGTAAGAATGCAGCATTACGTCTATATATCAATTTGTTATTCTATTTACATGGAATTAACTGAGAATATGGCAAAATTTAAATTCTTTTAGATATCAGAGCTGCAAGAGATGATGAATCAAAGTACTGCAATCCTTGGTACGGATGGACGAATTCTGGAGGCAAATTATGTGGAAAAGTCTGATAACCCATTGCAATGTTGCATGGACAATGAAATATCAAATGAGTCAGTCAACACTCAAAATCTGGTTTGTTCTATCTGTAAGTACATGTTATTAAGCCAAAAGCCTTACTTATTTTTTAATGCACTAAGATTGCATTAAAAAAATAGCCTAATTCAATAAACCTAATAGATCATTTTACTTAGGTAAAGCAAAGTTTGCAACCAAAAAAACATTGACTTTCCACATGAAGTCATTGCACGTGTCTAATCGAATGTGTTACCCATGTCCTTGTTGTTCCAGTACATTTGCAAACACATGGAGTGTGTATCGTCATCTTTTTAAAGGTAAACATCTTTTGTAGTATCAATTGTTTACACAGGTAAATTCCTAGGTATCATTTTAATCACATTTACTTTTAGTTCACAGGAAAACGAATGAACAAGTAAGAAAATTAAGAGTACATATCCAAGAGAAGGCTTTCCGGAAAGAAAGTACCGGAGCTGAGGATTTAGAGAAACAATGTGTGTTAGATACAGCTCTGGATTCACTACCTTTGGCAGCAACTGATGATACACAGGTATAGAAATTTATATAGAATTTAAATAGACATAATTATCTAAAAATTATTGACATTCCAACATTGTTAAATCTATCAAAGGAATGGATGAAACACTTGGAGTTGGATTTGGAATTGCAACGTTGTGGCGGCTGTGGGAGACGATTTGATAGAAAAGTTGCATTACAATCTCATTCACAACGTTGCCAGAGACGAATCGATGCATGTAACGGTGCTGCAAATAAAGTGAAGAAGATAGTTAAACCTCTACTGCAGAGTGTGCATAAAAATGATAAACCGTTAGTTGAGGAAGTAGTCAACCAAGTTGCAATGCGTAATGATAATGTCGCAAAAGCTACAGCAGAAAAATCTCAGTTAGAAACAGAGGAAACAAAAACTCAAATTGCCCCTGACAAGGCAAATAAGGTGCTTTCCGCGGGAAGCGATGACGGTAATGAATTACCCATTAGAGTACAAAATGTGTCGTCTCTTAGCAACGATGCTTGGGAAAGAATGGGTGCCAATAGCCCTTTGCTTAATAGCACCAGCCATTCGTCGTCTGAATCTTCAGTTGTCGATACTATCTGCGATGAAAAGGCAACAATGCATAGACAACAATCTTCCCCTATCAGTGATTTGTCGGATTCGCCAGAGATTATATATACAAGCATCGACCGAAGTAACACTATGTCATTAGCATTCGGTAACAAAAAGAGGAAAATTATGTCTACTACCAAAAATGAAAGGCTACACGCAATAGCAGGTTAGTGTTGTATAATCATTGTTTCAGCATTAATAATACACATTGCATATATTTTTTGGAGGAGTTTGTAGTAATATTTATTTCTAATTTTAGATAAAATAGGTGAAAGAAATTTGGCACTACAAAATACACTGCTCAATGTAAATCGAAGCAAACCTCAAAGTACTTTTGATTACACTTTGATCATGGAAAAAAAAATGGCCGCAATATCTAATATTCGAAAACTACAATGTTTACCGTGCAGGCAAAAATTTACGTCAATGGCAAATTTACGTCGCCACATGGCTATTCACATTGGTTGGAATCGATATCGTTGCAAACTATGCCCATTTAAGTGTTTCGTGAAGTGTGATTGTGTGGCTCATTGCAATAGATTACACAACGCTAAGAATAATAGAAGTGTTATATCAGAAATGGTTTTGGAAATGCCAGAGAAAGAAATTTTATTGAATGCAGGTATTAATGTGGAAAATGGAAGAGCAGACGTAGAGCCTGAAATTATCGATGTGACATCCTCCACGATGCAAACTGTCAGTGCAGAAACAAATAATACTTTCGGTATAGAAAGTTCTATCGATAAATCTGCTCTAGATGTTTTAATCGATGAACCTGCATGCGCCAATGACGCGAGGAATGACATTAACGAGACCGTACACACGGAGGAGGTTGAAAAGGAACAGGAAAACATGAGCGTTTCTAACGACACCGTGGAAAGTAATACCGATAATCCAAAGGACCCCGAAAAGGACAGTGAAGATCCTAACAAAAAGAAAATTGCTGAATCTACTCAAGCTCATCGAAACTTGTACACTGATCCTGATTTACGAAGAATGGTCATGGAAGTCATTTTTGGCTCATCTGACTCAAATTCAAATAAACAGTCTGCAGAAAATAAAACAGTGCACGAAGTTAACGGTCATGAAAAGACATCGTCCCAAGACGAAGAGAAGAGCAAGGAGGCTGACGAATTTTCTGAGACTGGAGGTACCAAAGAAGAAAATGTTTCAAAGAATACCGATGTCAGACCTCAAAGACCGGTTCGAAATCGCGTCAAACCGGTGGATAAAGACTTCATTTACGATCTAAAAGAGCTTGATTTCCGGAATAACGTATCACTGTCCAAGGGAGCAGTTGTATCCACGAATAGATCAGTCGAGAAAAAATCGCCAAATCGATTGGATGTGCAAGACAAGAAACACGATATAGAGATTACTGAAAGTCAACCTGTGAAGATTTCTAAATCGTTATACGAGAGAATGTGTTTAGGAAAAGTTTCTGGAGATACCGACAAGAGGACCAAAGATGTCGCGGAAAAGATTGGCAAAGATGCAAGTAAGAAAGACAGATTCGTTGTCGCAGGAAATGGAATTAACGAGGTTTTCGTTTCCGATGAATAAAAGGTTTATACCGGAGCTCGGGCGGTAATCCTCTTTCGAAATTGTCAAGCACGGCTAATTTCTACTCAATTACACTTCATTCTTCAATGAGAAGCAAATTATTTTTGGAATCAACATCTTCGGATTAAGTGTAACTTATCATCGTAATTGTACATATATACATTCAGAAGTTGTCAGTTGTTCTGTTAGCTATACGTTGCGAATTTCAACGTAAGAAATTTCAGAACGATATCCTCTATTAGTGGAATACGCATGCCTCGTAGGAATTCAGAGTATCGAAAAGTGCGTAGGGCTGAAAGTTAGTTTCATAAACTCTGTTTTTAATGCCGAATGGTAACGAACGTTCGTTCGTTCGGAGAACATATCGATTTTCCGTTATAAATCGTAAACCATCAACACTTAATAATTAAATTCACTGTTAGAGTTACTTTTTTTCCTTTAATATTTCCACGAAGATAAAAGATATTTACGGTTCATACCGTATGCGTTTTATGAACGATAAAATAATTGGTGCAATTTATTTTATGAGCGAAATGTGCATTTGCGATTATTAATTGCCCTTTGACGCTAGCTGATCGTTCCCTTACATCGAAGTTAACGAAACCGTATTTTTCGTCAGCAATTCATTGCTGACCATTAAGTTTCACTTTTTTATCAATGGTGGTTAATCGTTTGCACGAGTTTTAACATCGAGTTAACGAGTTTTCAAAAGCCATTCGTGTGATGCTCATAAACATATTTTAACATTGAAAATCGGTACAACAATCGGTCCGAATTGATACGTTTCGTTAAATCTCGAAATTTCACTTACACGCGTGAGAATAAATGAAACAAACGAGTAGCGCAACAGTTGCTAATAAGTTTAATTTCGCGTTACGAATATATTTGTAAAATTTCTGTAAAGCATCACCTCGGCGTAATCTGAGTAACGAGATCGGTGATTTTTTTTTGCCCGACCGCGTCGTTACGTCGTTCGAGAAAAAATCGTAAACTTCATAACGCGTAGATATATTAAAAATTTGTCGATAAATTCTCTCTTAGGAGAAAGACAATGTACAGTTTGCAGCGTGTACATGCCGAAGATGTCCTTGTATAAATATGTACCACAATAAAGTTAACGCCGACCAGGTTTTTTAACGTCTATTCTTTACGACGAATAATTTGAACGCGACTTCCAGGCTCCGTATTTTCAAAAGTCGCCCATCTTGCCGCCTCGTTTCCGATTCGGCCCTGGGCGCGCGCAGCGCCAGTCGCGAGCCGGCGGTACGCGCGGGTTGCGAGGACACAGGTGTCAGTTCTTGTCAGTTCGCGTCGGTCGGTGTCCGGTGGCGGTTCGGTCGCGCTCGATAGACGGGAGAGGGGTTTCGAAACCGTCATCGCTCGCGCGCCGCGACGCGATCGAGTGCATGCCCTCGGAGCCGGCTCGAGGTTCGCAGGGGAAAGACCTCGAGCGCGTTGTCGACTCACCCCCGACGAAGAGACGGTAAGTACGACTCGGGTGCGTCTCCTTTGGCGCCATTGTCGAGCGTCTCGCCCGGGCCCTGACCGGTTCGAGGCGGCCGCGGCCGCGACCGCGACTGCGTCACCGAGCGAACGCGGACCCGCAACGTGAATCGCGCGTCCTGCCCTCGTCCGCGGAGGTTTATCGGCTGGAGTGACGCGCCCCGGCGCATCCCGACGCCCCTAGGGTGGGCGGAGGGCCCGCGGAAACCGACCTTCCTCGTGGATCGCGCCAACGGAGCCGAACGGCTCTCGGAGTGGAGTGGCGCCAAGTGGTGCGACCTCGCGCAAGGACGTCGGCGTGAATCATCGATGGTTTTCGAAGAAAAAAAATGACGATATTCCCGACTACGTTCCGGTCGGTTCAATTAAGATCCCACGCGCGTATTAAGGGCCTTTTTTGAGGTACCCTCGACCGGAAGGCGGAAAAGTACGCAGCCCCGCCCACGACGTCGTTTAAGCGCGTTTAATCGTTTACGCGTATTTCGTGAGAGGCTCCCGGGCACTTTCGAGTAATTAATTAGAAGCGGAGCGCCCGGAAGATCGGATCGCGCGCGGGTATACACCTTTCCTGCGAGTTTTCGCGAGTTTAATTAACGGGAGCCTCGAGATGGCTCCGGGTAAACGAGGCGAGAACGAATTATCTTTGGGGACGGACCGCGAAAGATCACGGAATAAATACCTCGGTCGTTAAAGGACGAATTTTTTTTTCTCCCGAGACGTCGATTCGACCTCGTTTGCTCGTTACTCCGACCGTCCTGCGTAGGACGCAGCCTTAACGATATCGTTGTCGTTCCCGAGAAGAAACCCAGTCTCCGAACGAAAGCGTCGAGCCAACGACCGCGGCGGATTGCCCGCGACCCCGTTCTCCGCGAGGGACGTCGCGTCGAGGAAAGATTCGGCGCGCGACGTTTTCGGAAACGCCGAGCCAATCGGCACCTTGATCGCGCTCCTCGCCCTCGACCTCTGGCAAATATTTATTATCGCGAGCATTCCGGGGAAACGACGCGACGCCGAGAAGGAAATGGGTTTTCTCCCGCCGGCTCGCGGATTCGGGTGAATAACGTTCCCCGGGAAATCGTATTCCGCGGGCCCGGCCCCTCCACCCGTTGCCTCGTGAAAGTAAACAAGCGCGCGAGAGGATCCTCGAAGAACCCTCCGGCGTGGCATCGCGGTTCTCATCCCGAGTCGGTAATTCACGATTAAACCGTTGGACTCGGCGCGGGATTTTTAACGGGAAGTCGACGGTTTTCGTCTTCTATAGGGGTGGGAGGTCGACCGCCCTCTTGCAGGGGATGGGACAGCCGTGCACCGGGTCGCGGGGGGCAATGACATCGCGCACGCATGGGAAGCGCGGGAAAGAGTAGTTATGGCAACGCGAACCATAACCGTTCACCACAAACGTCATTTTTCCATCGCCGAGGTGATTATCGATTCACGGTCAAAGCGCTCTCGCGACGTTCCCATTCGTTTTTCAATTTGATTTATTTATTTCGCCCGTCCGCTCGCGGAACTCGAGGCTTTCCTCCTCGTCGACGAACCCTCGAGGGGCTGCCGGTTTGGATTAATTTTAACGACGAAAACCGCGGTTCTCGCTTCCGTTCGGTCGATCGAAGGCTCGCTTCGGATTCGATTATACCTCGTGGCTATCCGGCATTCGCGATCTATTTTCGCCATTTTGCCATTCCCCCGCGGAGCCTCGCGGAAGGCGAGAAGTCGAGGAACGCCGAGATCCTCTCCACGGACGAATACCCCACTTTGCGTTTTCGTCGCGGGAGTTTTCGAAGAAAACTTGAGTTCTCTCCCGCGTTCCCTTTCGCGCTCGTTAAGGATCGCTCAGAGAACGCGAGAGAAGAAGAAGAAACGAGTTCGATGAACGTCCGCGTGGGACTTTTCGTCGTTAGTTTCCTCGTTATTTTCCTCGTTATCCGACGCGGAACGTCGCTCTCGTTGTTCTCTCCTCCGGATACCGTTTTCCCTCGAGAGAATCCCCGCGGTTGCGCAAAAAGAATTTCGGATTAATCCCTTCGTCTAGTTTTCGACGGTGCTCGAATGCTCCGATCGGTCTTTGAAAACTCGCCCTCGACGCATCCGCGCGTGCTCGGATGCGAGTCGGATGCATCACGAGTGAGAGAAAAGAGGACAGCCCACGGCATGCTTTGGCCTCTTCTCCCGCTTCCCCCGCGACACTCGGACCAAAGAAAGCCGTGGCTCTTGGAGAGGACGTTCAGGCCCTTCCAGAACCGACGCTCGATCCGGGATTCGGGAGCAAGGATCCATCGCGATACATATATTTCTTCGAGTCTTTCGACGTTTTTTTCAGGGCGGGAGGTTTCGTCGCGGACTCGACGCCACGATTCGGGCTCCAGGGACGCGAGGTGTTTTTTCCTTTTTTTCCTTCTCTCGAGAAGCGGTCCCGGGACAGGTGCACCTCGGGCGGCGCAAGGGTTAACGAGGACAAAAGAAATATCGACCCTGGACGGACGCGGCATCCCGGCTCTCCTCCGGCATCCGGAGGGCAAACTGGCTCCCGATACCGATCACGGAAACCCTCCCTCGTAAACGTGGCGACGAGTCGATAACGGCACTTTCCGGACGACGAATCTCTTTGCTCGGTTTGCTCCGAAGCCGCGGCACGGAGTCCCGAGTCCGTTAAACGGCCCGCGCGTTTCTCGGCTGCGACAGCGGCGGTCTTTACGTAAAGGGAACTCCGTCGGTTAATTACGAATATAAGTCTCGACGTCTCCCGAGCCTCCGCGGACCGGATTCGAGGCGACTCGGCCTAGATCGAACGGGTGTCGGTCGGGCTCGCGGAAAGAAAGCGGGGTTTCGTCTCTCCCTCTCGACCGATCTCGAATCCGGCAAGGATGCACCCGGTCGTTACGCAACGGAACGGCCGCGCGGCCCACTCCCCCTTGGGAACGAGTCCGTAAGTGCGTAATTGCGTAATTGCGTAATTGCGCGAGCTAGGTGCTCCCGGCCGATATGGCGCCGCCCCGCCCGCGTGGATCGAGGGAGGTCGATTCCGAAAAGGCGAGTCATAGGAAGGAGCCTCCTTTAAATTCGAGGGAGAGAATGCCGAGCATCTCGCTTAGCCCTGGGAAATCCGATCGGCCTTCCGATCGGCCTTCCGGTCCCCGATTCTTCTCGACGACGCGAAGGACGCGCGCCCAACGAGGCGAGGAAGGTCGCGAAAACGCTCCTCGTCGGGGATTGCGACCGATTCGTCCAGGGGAGACCCGGAGGAGGCGAGGGGAATAAATTGTCGGCGTTCGTGTTGCAGGTGAGCCCCGCCGGGGACCCGGAGCCATGGGGTGCGCGTCGCAGTGTGCCAAGTACTTCCTCTGCTTCTTCAACTTCGTCTTCTTCGTAAGTACCGGCAAATGTCGATCCGAGGCAAAGATCGGCCGCGGAGGTGAAACTCGTCCTTCGTTGTCCAGGTCGCCGGGGGAGCGGCGCTCGCCGTGGGGATATGGCTGGTGGCCGACCGGAGCTCCTTCGCCAACCTCGTCGGCAAGGTCGACCAGACCGACGTGCTGGTGAGTTCTAAACCTTTCTCGTCCCTTCCGCGCGTACGCGGTCAAATTTGGAACGACGGCGGGCCCTTACGCCCTCTTTCGCCCTTTGGCCTACCTCGACCGGTCGACCGATTTCGCCCGTGTTTTTGTCTTTGGAGCGGGCTCGGCCTCCGTTTTCTCTTGTACTTATCGGAGGAGGAACGGACTTTCCGGTCGGGCTCGAGGGAGCCCCGTTCCCCGTTCGAGCATCGGTTACCGATCCGACGCGAAGTACCGGTTCCGGCATCGTCCGTCGCCACGCCCGCGAGATCGCCGCCGCTTCCTTGTCTCGCGAGCGTCCTCGTCCTTCGTTTCTCGGTTTTTTTTTTAACCTCTTTCCGGGTCGGCGGACGGCCGGCTCGACGACGCGTTTTCCCGCTGGAGCTTGACCCAGATGTATCCCGGGACGCGATCGATTCCCGCGATGTCTCCCGAATGTCCTCCGAAGGGGCACGGCGCGTTTGCGGACCGACAAAAATATTACACGTGCTCGGTGAATTCGCATTCACCGCGTATCGAAGCGCGGGGCACCGGGGTAACGTCGATTCCCGCGATTCCCATATCCCGGACTCTTGGCCAGTCGATCGGTTCCAAGTTTTCGAGAAAAGTGGGTCGCATCTCGAGGACGCGTCGCCCGGAATCGGACCAATTGGCTCGAACTCGCCCCGAGTAGAGAGAATTACGTCGCTCGGGATCCGTCCCGATCCCGACCGCGTGGGCGTCCTCGGTTTTTTTTCTTTTCTTTCTCTTTACCGCGAGAGGGAGAGAAAACGCGAATTACGGGACGCGGCCTCGCTCGTTGGCGTAAAATGCGAGAGTATCGGGTTCCAGCCAGGAGAAGACGAGACGGAGGCGGAGGTTAGGAGGTTGCGCCTTTAGAATAAAGCGTAACGCGATCGTCGCGTTAAGGCGTTCCCGCTTCTCTCTTTCCCACCCCCGAGTCGTCTTTCCTCGAGCGAACGATGAACTCGACCCGAGAAAACGTCGCCTTTTCGCGCGTTTTCCCCACCCGAGAAATTGGATCGTCCCTGAAAACGTTGCCATCCTCCGAATTCGGTTTAAACGAGAGCGCGAAACCGTTCATTTTTCCTTCGAGGGATTTCCGCTCTCCGGCTACAAATCCAGCCGATTGCGCGCGTTTGGAGGGAAACGAAAGCGGTAATTCCATTTCCGGCCGCGTCGAGACTAATAAACCGTGGGCCCCGTTGTCGAAGTGCGCCTAAACGGCTCGGAAAAAGAAGTTCCCCCCGATCGGACGGACGGCCTCGAGGTGGTGAGCACCGCGTGGATTAATAAGGCTCGTTAGCGGTTCGTCAATTATTTCCACCGCTGACGTTATTAGCGGCATTAACGATACGATACGCGTTGGCGCATCCGGGGCGAGACAGCGTAACGTGGAAAGTAAAAGTCCTGCTTTCAAAGGCGGGACGTTCGCGTATCGTCGAAATCGTTCCTCGTGGAATGAGGAGGCCTTCCACTCGAACGGTCTTCGCGAAAATATCTTTCCCGTATGTTGTATCGACTTTTAAGTAACTCCCGAATTCGCGCTCGCCCGGACCTCGTCGACGAACCTCACGGTGAAACGATATCGTAACGGATACGACCGAGTAGAGTTTTATACAGGGTGTTCTAAAGATAGCCGAGGCGAGCTCAACAGGTGCCTCGAGGAACGCGATAAGCGTGTCAACGGGCTAAAGTCATTTAGCACCGGGCACGATTTAACGGCGTTTTAAGTGGCGTGCCACTGTTCTCTACGGCTCGCTTCGGCACGAGTCGAGGCTATCGTCGCCGCGGAAAAAAAAGGAAAGATCCATCGATCGCGTCCTTCTCTCTTCTTGGGCTATTCCGGCCTTCCCTTCCGTGCCGTCCAGTTGAACGAAACTTCTCGCGTAACGGCTACGTCGCATCGATTTGGATATCGATTTCGTTCCTCCATAAATATCTCAACGATGAATTCGTCGATCTACTTCTCCTCCGTTGGACGAGTATCTCCGTCAGTATTTTTTTCAGACCAAGACGGATGCGGACGTTATCAGGATGATCGCCTATATCCTGATAGTGGCGGGAACGCTGACGTTCGTTGTCAGCTTTCTGGGATATTGCGGAGCCATGTTCGAGTCTAGGTGTCTCCTCTGCGTCGTGAGTATCGGCCGATTCCATTCCGCCGTTGGAATCCACGGACGTTCCCCTTGAGAAACGTTCCCGATAAGGCGGCCTTTTCGGAGAGCAACTTATCTCGCGCGTATCTTTTTTATTTCAGTACGGCGTTCTGATTCTGGTGGTCCTGGTCCTGGAGTGCGTCGTCGTTGGTCTTGCCTTCGGACTGAATGAAGACGTAAGTATCGATGACCCCCGTTGATCCAGCAAAAAATATTTCTTCGCGTTCTCGTTTGTCCCAGGCTGGAGAGGCTACGAGGGACATCCTCAAATCCACCATCAAGTATTACGCCGGAAACGCGGATCAGGCCGAAACGGTGACCGTCACCTGGGACGGCATCATGACGCAGGTGAGCTTCCTCTTCGGGAGGAGTCGCCGGAGTTATCCCGGGCAATGGGCATCGTTATTAGGGAAAACTCGGGGTTTCCGCGTTGCTCGTTTACCGCCTGTTATTTTCCCGTAGGGACGCAGGAGCGTTGCGCCAACGCGTGCTCTCGTAAATTTGCGGAATGACGGCGTTACCGCTGGGACGAAATTACCCAAGAGACCGGCGAAAGACCGACTTATCCGACGTAACGGATTCCTGACTCGAATATGGAAAAATAGAAATTGTTCCCCTTCCGGAAAAAAATCATTCGTCCATGCGAAAGCAATGAGATTCTTTTTTCGCGTCGAGATACCTCGATCGATTCCTGGGATGAAAATTAAAATCGCGTTTGCGACATTCGCGTAATAAAGGAACGTTCCAGTCCCGTTCTCCGCGTCAGGAAGAAATCTTCGCTCGATTATTTATTTAAGCGGCTATCCGTTCCAGCTTCACTGTTGCGGGGTGGAGAGCTACTTGGACTTTCGCGAAAGCGCCAATTGGACCGCGACTGGGAAATTGGTCCCCGAAGCCTGCTGTATAAAGGAAAACGGAGTCCCGAAGGAGCCCTCCTGCCCCCTCAGCCCGACGGAGGCGAACTCATATTACAAGACGGTAAAGATTTCTTATCCTTTCTTTTAATGTAAATAATTACCACGGAATTCGTTGGGTATCGACCGGTCTCGTGTAAACTTTTTTTTTTTACATATTACATATAATTCCCGAACGTTGCGCCCTCGTAAGAGGCCGTTCTCTCTCTCTCACTCCGTAAGAGTCGAGAAATCGAGTGCCGAATAACGAGCTTTCCTAAGGTTTACTTTCACCGGTCATTTCGTCAAATGACTCGAAACGAAGTAACTGCGGCGCTTTCTTCGATTCGGCACGTCGCTTTCTAACTCGAGTCAAATCCGATCCGACTTCGGGGAGAGAATAAATATCGCATCGCGCGATCAAACTCTGCAATGTAACATATAAAAGCTAGAACGCTTACACCTGCGAAATCTACCAGACGCAAGTCCCAAGGAAAGCGACCGCATGGCCGGATCCGCTCTATAAATTTAGAAAATTACCATTTTTTCGCTTTAGCGATTATCCTCCCTTGTATAATTTCAGGGATGTTACAAGGCGATAGTGGATGCTATCGCGGAAAATGCGGCGATAGCGATCGGAGTGGCAGCTGGATTGGTCCTCGTGGAAATCTTGGTGACAGTGTTGGCACTGTACTTGGCATGCTGCTATTGGCGTCCTCAACATGGTAGGCTCGGCGTTAAAGTGAACTACTAAAAAAAGCTCGACCTTCTAGATTATCTCACGAGTGTGTTGATCCCCTCACGCTTTTCCCTCCCTCTCTGAAATGTCGAGATCTCGAGCAAAAGAGTGTCGCCCTGTCGCCTCTAAAAACCTCGCCTTTTAACGATTTACAGTTTATCGATGCGTAGAGCCGTCTTTCAAGGAGTAATACGTCACGCTCGGATCAAATTAAGCCGGGGCTCGACTTTCGAGGATCTCTTCGAAAGAGAGAGAAAAATAGAAAAAAAAAAAAATACAGCAAAAGCGCAATGAACGAAGTACGATTTACGTTACGATTACATAGAGGTGGTTTACTGGCACGTTCATCCTAGTACGAATCTTCGGTGGACCGGCTACGCACCTTGGATCGAGAAAAATGATCGCAGGCGATGTGCCGCGAGTTGTTAGAAGCGTTGCATCGCTTGCACGGATCTTCCAGCTCCGTTAGATTCTCTTCCACTCGTCGTTCGAGCGAGTATCCGCGTTGAGGGGGAAAAAAAAAAGGTTATTTCTTTACCCTCCAGCCGACTCGGTTCTTCGGGGTGATCCCGAGTCTTCGGAAGTCCCTTATTGACCCCTCATATTTTGTACAATATATTTTTTTCTCAACGGGTCTAAACCGGTCCCTTTTACAAAGATCCTGAAAAATCCGATGGACTTTATAAGGAAAAGGAAATCATTTTCGAGCATGCAAAATGGGTTTTCCGGAAACTCTTCTCTCAAGCGAATGTTTCCCTCGCACGGTTTTAACTCAGCCTCTCCGTTGACGTTGCTTCTCGATATGTATCATTGACAAAAGGCGTATTCTCTTCTAGCTTGTGTAGACGTGTCTTCGAGGCAGGCCTGGTGAGGCGATACGGTGGTGGTGAAAAGTGAGGATGATATGGTGGGGGTTCGGTGTGTCAAGTAAGAATTAGGTGGAGGTGTCAATTGACGGTTGACCTCGCCTCTCGGCTGGTAGCTTTGCTCGGTTGTCACCTTCGGAAGAGGAGAACTCCATAGCACGGGGCATGGCGGCTTCTACGTGCATGACGGTTAAGCGCACTTTTTGCCAATTACTTTTTCTCCTTTTAATTACTTTACTTTCGGCTCGTGCTTCGCGGAGGATAATTTTTCTTTTCGAGCGGAAGCTCTTCGAGCATCCGTGAGTCGTCGTAAAAATTGTCCTTCGCGAAGCCGGAACAAAATACATTGGCACAAGCTGTCGCAAAATTGTCAGCCCGGACGAGAGCAATTTATCGCTCGGCCGATAGGAACGAACGTGCATGAAAACGTTGTCGATATTAACTATCCCCGACGCGGTTCAATTATACCGATCAATTCGCACGAGGGTACGCGCTGGTCAGTTACGTCAAGATTCGTTGCACAACCTGCTCGTTGGATCGCTATCGTTAATTTGCATTAGCACTCGGCCGGCGTGTCGGTCACGTCTGGAAATCCCTGTAAGACTCGTTACTTCGAGTACGAAGTATCGAAAACGAATCACTTAACGGGTATAATTAGACCCTGACGAACGTGGCACTACCGACAAGGTAAAGCTTCTCAACGACGCGTATTTTTCCACTCTTGACCACTTGTGCCAATGCACGCGAATCGATACTCCTAAGCGCAGGAAAAGGTTCACGCTCTAGAAACGTCGAATTTTCTTCCGATCTTCCGTGAAAGGACGAGAACCGTGAATGTCGTCTGTCCGTTTGGCGGCAAAACTGAGTTAATAATTAAAGAAAATGCTAAGAATGATCAGCGAAAGCGCGAGTTTCGGGGTAGGAGGAATCGCGGATCGTTCTTTTTTTCCCCCTTATTCGCGTTGACGTTCATGCCTTACACTTTAGTTGTTTTCGTTCCAGTGTTAACTTGTTGGTGCTGCTGCTGACGAGGCACTAAGAGCATGGAACCGTTGAGTAGAGCCTCCTAGCATATTCGCACGTTGAGCCCGTAGAGCTTGCTTGAAAGTCCATGCCTAGGCTTCCCGAGGCTGGTCGAAGCCGAAGACGAGACCCGTCCTCCTCTTTTCCATTAATCGTTAAACCAACTTTCCGAGATGGAAAGCGCGCGATAAGGCACCGCCGGCTGCTTCCAGCCTGAGATTACGAAGAAAGCGTCATTTAATCGCCGATGGCTCCGAAGCAGGGTACATGCAATCTTTCGATTTATTTCGAAGCGTTCGTTCGACCGGCGAAAGATAAATTAATCTTGCTTTATATCGATTTGAAGCGAGAATCCACCGATTAGTCGGTGTTCCATCGGTAGCGTAGAGACGCGATGGATAAATGTAAAGTAAAGATTTATATGAACTCTGCTCTCCGAAGTCGGTTTCGGGCAAAAAGTCTCTCTTGCTGTCGATTTTTGTTTCTCGTGGGAAACTTCGCGTTCCTCGGCTGCGCCACCTTCTCTCGTCCCTCTCGTCGCTTTGGTGGTTCTTTGAGACCGTTTCTGCCGTTTCCAATCTTTCCAATTTTCAATCACCCCCCGGAAAGGGCTTTTTCGGGTTGGTACGTCCCGTTGAATATCTCTATATCGAGAACTCTCGCGTAAATTCCGTGGATTTTGGTTTTGGACGTCGACCTCTAAAGAGCGGCGCAGCCGAGTCCGAAGATTTCGTTAAATTTCGAGAACGAAGCGGAGGACGGATTTTCAAAAAATGAAATTTCGAGACTCCGTGATTTACCTAACCGCTCGCAGAAACCATGAAGTCTCGTTGTCTGTCTTATACAGAGATAAGTTTACAGTTTATTGAGCGCTTATTTTCTATACTATTTAACCTTCGTTATTAATTTTGTTATAGGTTAATTACGCAACAACCAACAAATAACGGGGAGCTTTTCTTTAGGGTCGTTCGAAAGTTTTCGGGTGATGAGAAAACGATTTGACGAATCCAAAATCGACACCCGACAATTTTAAGAATTGCTGGAGAACGGTTGTCCTTGTTATTTGTGGTTGTCGCGAGTCGCTGATACGCGAAATTTTTTGAAAATGCTTGTTTTCTTGTACTGTACAGTCCAGGATAGGCTTTTAGCGTTAATTCGCGCGAATTTTCTCTCTGCATTATAATGCGCACTAAGATTGTATTTATTTTTAACTGTCCTCGCAGTATTTGTCTTTGTACAGTGTAAGGCACCAAATGAACGATTTTTCGTCGTGTTTAATTTCTCGAAATAAGGAAAAAGAAAAAAAAGAAGTCTAAGAGACTATTTCCGTTTTCCTTCGCTGGAGCTGAGCTCGGGGAGTTCCGGGATTTCGAAAATCGCTAAAAGATGAACTTTTAGCTGACCTCTCTGGTTTCGCGAGATTTTCTCGAAAAAAAAAATTCTCTCGGCTTAAATTTAAAATTGAGCTCTTGTTTTACACAACCGACAACGAAAATTTAGTAAACTCAATTTTGAGCTCGGTCGAGTCTGCCGTTGATTTGTTGCTCGGTATTTCGGAAAGGTCAGATTTTTGTTAATAGCTCATCGTAACAAGATCCGCGAGGAAAACCGGGCTTTCGCGGTCAATCACGGCGAATGTTATAATTTTTTGTTAAGCTCCTCGAAGAAATTTCCGCCGAGTCGTTCATCCGGATAAGGTGTACAGATCGCCAGATATTCGTTTACGGAAGGTATTTCCGTAAAGCCGGCGATTCACTAAGGATAGACTGTGAAACGAGAACTGGACAGTTGGCGTTGATATTAACTCTAATTTATTATTTAAGTCCGAAAAGTTACTGTCCGTTAATCAATCGCTTTCGTACGAGGTCGCGCACAGAATTTTTTCTCAAAAAGGGCAACCCTCTCGGTCTAACTCGAGAAACCACGATCGGGGATGGGTAAAAGACTGTTTCGAGTGGATATTTTGTTGTTTATTTAGAGGAAAAAAATGGAAATACTATTTCAGAGGAACGGTACTTTACCCATATCCGACATTCGATGTACCAAGTTGGGGTATATCGAATCGTAATCAGGGAAACGCGCTGCGTACTGTATTCACATTTCTATACAGAGACTGATATATACCTGACCTAATAAAAATGTATATACTTGACCCGCGATTATCGATATACGGTTATACATTGCGAAATGCATTAATACTATAATTATACCTTAATTCGTCTACTATAATTACATTTAACGGTAACGTGTCGCAGTAGCATTGATTTGTTAAGATTATTGAATGTTTTTTGTAAAAACTGTACACACGGATTTAAAATTAAAAAGTTTTATATTATTCATAAATCTCTGACGGAGATGCAGCAATATCATCGTCCTTCTCCGTTAGGATTCCGAATTTGTACTTTGCAATTTAATGAATTTACTCCCACTCGTTTTGAAAATGTAAGTAATTCAAACCGGACGATGTGGCTGTTTCGTCATTTTTTAATGACCTTTGCAAGAGACAAATAAGTCAGTTTATAAAAGACAGCGCGATATCTCGGTAAGGTTAAATTAATAACGCAAAAATATGGTGAAAGCATTCTGGAGATATTATCGGCGGACGAAGTAAGGGATTCTGTTCTTTGCGTGCACTGATATTACGAAGAGATAGGAAACATAATATTTAACGATGGAGTAGGAGTATTTACAGAAAATAGGCTGAACACTATTTTGGAATCAAACGATATTTTCGGAGAACATTGGTCGCGTGATTTCATCCTCGCCCGATTGTATTTCTCAGAATATCACAGTCTATCGATCCTCTAAATCGTATACTTAATAGGGAAAGTCAATCGTACACTTCATTCGAGCCCTCGAATCGTTACAAATAACCTGTGTACCTCTGAACGAGGGCTCTCAAAATCAGCGCGTCATTCTTAATAACTTAGAAATCATCCTAACCAGAAAGCGCACGATTTCTTAACATAATCTTGCACTATCGGTATCTCCTTCCTTCCGTGTACCGGGAACCATTCCTTAGAATTTCCTTCAACTGTACACGATTCAAAATACGTTAACATTCCGGGCGATGTCCAGAAAGCTACTCATCAAACGATAAGCTTATAAGTAAAAATAGATCTGCATCATTCCTCTAATACTTAGCAACGATTAAGAAAATAATCGTGGCTAACGGATACGCCCCGAGAGGCAATCCATTTACGGTCTATTTATACATTTCCCAGTTTGTGACTCGAGACTGGACTCTTTAAAATGAGTCCCTCGAGTCCAACATAAAGAATGCCGATTGCGAGTGCTTAATTAAATTACAAGTGCCGCACCTTAGACCCTGAAGAGACCGCGGGGAGTCAGGGGCGTGAGCTGCGTGCACGGTTTCAAAAACGATTCATCCGAAACGGTCCGCTGGAGCCAAATTGGCTAGCGGCTCCGGTGACCTCGGAACGAATCGATCTCGCTCGTTGGCCGCGAAAACTGATCGTGAATCCCTTGAACCTGCTCTCAATAGAGCCAAGCCGGGTGGTTACTTGGCAGGCACACGGGGTTCAGGTGGTAAAGCGAGTCCTATTGAGGAGGACCGTTCATCATGCCCATCGGCGGCATGCCCTGGATCCCGTAGGGTCCTTGAGAGGGGCCCTGTCCTCCGGCCATGGGGGAGTGCAACTGCATCGCCGGACTCTGGATCTGCTGGGTCGGAGTGACTTGACCGCCGCCGGGGGATGCAACCACCTGTCGACATTTGATCAAGCGAAATTATCCAATGGCCAGGTTTCCCGGACTGCAACGGCAAATAAGAAATTCCGGTACGCACTTGCGTTATGACCGGAGGTTCGGACGGCAGGATCAGATTAGCCAGGAGATCCCTAACCGCGGGAAAAAGCGAGCACTCGGACGGATTCGCTCCGTACTCGGCGAATCTTTTCAGCTGCAGCGACGCAGCCGCCGTCGCCGATGCAGGGCTCGGATCTCTCTTTTCGGCCAATTGCGTTAGATTCGTGCTCACGTCGTAAACCAAGGGTAGCACGAGGGACGGGGCCTCGCCTTGATACGGAACCCCGATTCTCGTTATTTGAAGCTGAAAGTTAAACTTTCCAATGCATTCGCTCGAAACGATTAGTTGTTTCGGAGAAGCTCTCGAATACTCACGAAAAACAGGATCTTGTTCCTGCACACCAAAACCGCAGCCATTCCAGTAGGCACGATTGGAGTAGCCGAAGGTGGTATTCGCAAACACCACTGTACCGACCACTTGAGTTGCTGCTGTTGCCCTAAACTGGGCACCAACTCCAGTTTCATGATCTGAACGAAGTCTTTCAGCACGTTGAACGGAACGTTGAGCATTCTTCCGAAGCCGGAAAGCGTGTTGGGCTTATAGGGCGGGGCGGCCGCTCTTGTGTCGAAGAACTTCTCAATGATCTGAAGAAGGAATGTTTCGTCGGATCGTTCGATCGAGATTCCCATCCCAAGACTTACCTGGAGCTCCTCGAGAGTCCACTGATCTTTGTGTTCCGGAAGAGGCTGCACTTTTATATGGAGCGACTGCAAATGCTGCGGATTCAAACCAACCCTGCACTGCAGGGTCTCCACCTTGAAGTGTACCACTCCTGGCTCCGTGCTATGAATAGTAGTCAACTGCAACGAAAATGCGTTACCATCGTCTGAGTTCCATTTAATTGCCCGATTCGAAGCCTGGGTCCGTAACGACTTACGCAATCGTCTGTCTGTATAAATCGCTGCAATTGCCTGCGCATGTAAACGCAACCGAGGAATCTTTCCAGCGGCGAGAGATCCGGTCCAGGTAATCCGGAAGGATGAGGCGAAGGACAGCACAGCAACTCCAGAGCTTCATGGGTGAGCAGAGTCGGAACGGCGCCTGCCCAAGATCTTGGAGGCAACACTCTGGAAATGTGGCTTCCGGCTTTATGATCGGAGGCTTGAGGGCTATGAAGAGCCGAGTGTCCCGGACTCTGTCCTGGTCGGGCAGGAGATGGCCTCGGCACACTCGGGGATCCTGGCCAGTTCGACGCGGCCGGGGACGTCAAACCTTGGGACGAGGGAAATGGGCTGCCATCTATGTGACCTGTCCATTCAAATGTTCCATTGGTTACGTCGTCGTTTTCACGACCTAGGAGTCAACTGGCGGTAATCCAAACGGAAGCAGTTACTCACCGGTCTGCATAAACGAGCTCGCGGGAGAATGTCCTACTTGGACGTTGCTGCAAGGACCTGGAGACGACGTGGGCATGAGTCCTGCAGGGCTGGGCACGTGCATCTGGTTCAGGGGACTATTCGCAACCAAACCGGATCCGGGAGAAGGATGAGGCAACATGTTTGGTGTGTTCGGTGGCAACGAGGGCGGCGAAGCTAAATTGAACGATGTCGCGGGACTGCTTCCGAAACTCTGGTGCTGGCTGGCCTGAAATCACGGATCGGGTAATCGTTGCGCACGGTTATATTTGAAATGTTCCAATTACCTGCGAGATGTTGGCAGTATGTGGACTGGCCGGAGTGTGAGGATTGCTGCCGGATGGAGGAGTCAATGGTGGATGAAACCTGAGGCCGTCTCTTTGCTGAGCGGGGGACTGAGGACCTCCTCTATGGTGACCGAGGAATCCAACGTTGGTCCCACCTCCTTCGCTGTCCATGGTAACAGGAGAAGGTGGGTTATCGTCTTCCGACTGCGATCTTCTCCGGAATACCGCGGTCTCGTCGACGTACTTGGACAGGAAAGCCTGCGGAGACGCGTTTTAATACGAGAACGAGGGAGTGAGCCAAAGGCCGTACCTTTAGTCCCTGGGTGGGCGTAAATTCATCGACGACGTTACTTCTGTCAAATCTGCTGTAAGCACCGTCGCGCAAGCTGACCAGGCCACCTCCTCGAAGTCTTAATTCCAGGCAGTATATTCCTTGATACGCGAGTCTAACCAAGGTCACGCATTGTGGCATTATGGTGAAGGTTTGTACGGGAACTTGTGGTCTCTGCAAATAACGCAAACGAGGTGTCGGTCTACCCACTTAACGTGAAAAATGGAGGATTCACTCCCTGATTTTCTACTTACGGAATTGTGAACTCCTAACTGAGGAATCGTCGGTAACTTGCTGATCGAGGTCAAAGGTTGCAACGTCTCGTTCAATATGTGCACGATCTGCGCTAAATTTCTGTGACGATTCAAATGGGCCTCGAGCTGTTCCTTCATCAGAGAATGAGCGTTCACCACCGTGTTAGTGGGACCTGCAAAGACGACGTACTTGGAGATTTTTATTTCCAACCTCAGAGCAGAGAGAATATTTTTCTCACTTTTTCCGAAAGTCAGCTTGAAGGCTTTATCGTTTGTACTCCACTGGATGGTTACCATTGCTCCTCGATTAGGACCATAAGCGAGTATCAGCTTACTGTAGCTGTACGACTTAATGCTAATCATGTTCCTGATATTATATTTCTCTGAAAGGATTTCATCCGTAAGAAACGCAAATTCTATTTAACGGAAAATTATAAACTCGGCCTATTTTTTCTCACCCATTTTTAAATACTCTGCCAGATCCTGCACTATCGAATACAGGTGAACTATTTGAGCCCAATCGCTCAGCAGAGAATCTACAGTTCGAGACACCGTATCGGCTGTTCCCATTTCGTACTGAAAGTAAACGGGTCGGCGCAGTCCTGAAATCATTGCAAATTTCCTCAGTTATATCTCAGACTTTACAATTGTTAGTCAACGAATCGCCATCCTTGCCTTGCTCCTTAGGATGACTGCTCGTAAGAGGACTGCTGAAAAACACAAACTCGGCCATCCACGTCTTGGCCATTCCTTTACCCTGCACTCTGATCGCGACACTGAGAAGTCTTTTCAGAAGAGCTTGCCATGCACTACTGGATGCAATGTTCGCAGAAGGTGCAGGCAGTTGAACGAGTTTCAGCACCAGCGCTGTTGCGTTCGCTTCGACTTGAAGTCCTTGATGTGCTATGTCTCTTCGAGTCAACTGCAACGGCAAGGGCACATAAAGTTAGATAAACGTTACGACTCTGACTTAAATCCACGAGGTACCCGTTCTGGTACTCACCTCTTGAGCCAACGTAACGAAGGGAATTCGTTCGTCGCAAAGTGCCACGACGTGGGCCAATTCGGGAATGAAATAAGCAGGATGCTTGGGCCTCCTGTTTTGCGACGTTCCCGCCGCGTCGGTTCTGCCGGCGGCCCCAGTGCTTCTACGTTTGTTGCCAGCCTTCTCCACTACTTCTGTAATGCACCCCCCATCTTGTTCATTATTCCCTAAAAAATCCACCTGTTAAATCCCCGCCTAGTTGCAAGACACCATACCAGTACCACGGCCAGTGGTGCCAGATGTTAAGGATTAGTTATTAAGTACTGTACAGAGTGAATCGGTACGATCGGTTTAACGCTTGTTAATGGTTAATTGGACAAAGAGGTGTGCTCAACAAAAGAAATTCATTTATACGCAATGAACGCGGGGTTGATTCCGCCAGTCTCCAAAAAAGAGACAAGGTTTGAACGTGGACAACGAGGGCGAGTCATAAGCCTGATTATGTACATCGTGAACGTGTGATTTATATTTAAAAGCAAAAAAATATCAATATTACGTGGATCGTATCGAGGGAGTTTCATTCATGCTATTTGACGCTTTACATTCTCTGGATCAAACGATTTGTAGCAGTTCGGAGTGGGATACGCATCTGTACTGGTAAATGTGCTCATCGTGTGAAAATGGGTATAATTTTAATGTCGTTCGGGCTTACCACTGTCGACACTAGTGAACGGTCCATGTGTGATGACAAAGGTATCAAATTCGATGAGACTTTGAACCTTTAAGTACATTTTTGGAATTTCGGTTTCTATACTGTCATCGTGAGGATCATCTTCGATAGAACTGTGCTTTACAACAGCCAGATAAAAAGAACATTCAATTTCACATTGAGACGACTCTTTCTCTTTGAAAGCCACTATCTGAAAGAGAGATAAGTGTACAATTTCCAGTAAAAATAATTTGATTCTATTTAGTTTTAGCTAAAAGTGCATACCAAAATCACTGTAGGATGTCGGTGTAACTGAATAAACATGCGATGCCTACTAATCTTGGACATGGGATGGTCCGGATGGTGCAACAGAGGTAAACGCTCATGGGGCGTTGCCGGTAAGTGCTGTAAAGTTTTCTCACAACGCCTCTGGGTTATCCAAAACCTGAAATTAAAGTATTACGAATAGTTTCTCCTCCCGTAGCACCGAGGTAAAATGGAAAAGAATAAGATTATCGTTAACTCTACCTTAGTTCCGATATCAGCGTCGGCAATCTTGAATGATCTCCGTTTAATGCGGTCGTGAGCTCTGGGACAAGGGGGGCATCGTATTGCGGTACATGACACTGAAGCATTCCTGTGTGAGTATCAACGGTGACCAAGAGAAGTTCTGCTCTCAAGCAAGGTTGCAAGATTGGTACCGAAAGGATAGCTGGTGACCCTGCTAACGTGCCTGGAAAACAGGTAACAATTAAATAACGAATTTAATCGTAACGAATAGATAAGCATACCACAATATGACTTACATTCGACATCTTTTAACATAGATTGTAATTCTTGTTTCAATTCAGATAATCGACTTCTTGTTCGAACGTAAATAGTATGTACGAGTAAACACTCCATCGACAATTGATCCGATCTAATAGCTCTGTCAGCAATTTCACTTTCCTGCAAATTAAGATTTTTTATGTCACCGAGTATATGCGTCTTGTCTCTTTTCATTTTACCGTTTACTGACCTTACTACCTAACGAGGGGACGTGCACGACAGCAAGAGGTCTAGCAGGATCGTGTTGGTCTACCTGTACAGTTAATTTATATCCAAGTTCTGACCTAGGATCTTTGCTCGTCAATTCTCTGAAACGAGAATATAAATCAAAATATCTAATTGTCTTGATATAAATTAGATTTACCGACTAGATCATACCTCCAATAGGATATAGACAGGCATTTCCCGGGTGTGTATTCATCGACGTGAATATGATCGTCTAATCTGTCTCGTATTAAACGCAGAGTTTGGGAATAAAGTACTTCGAGCTGCAGCGATTGACAAAAGTAGTGCAGGATGTAATATACTTCAGAAAGTGGATTAGTGCTCTCCGCCAGTCTTGATTGTACAACCTTGTAAACAGAAAATATTTCAATAGACAATAATTTTTTACAAACGATAAAATTCAATAAATCACGAGTCACACCTGGTGAACGTATCTCGTTTGTAAAGGATGCACTAGTGCTTTCCCATCACCGGTTTCTCTATCAGAGACCAAGATCTCCAATTCGAGTAATCTCCAAGGTACAGCTGGCCCATCTCCCATGACCGTTAACGATACCGAGAATTCTTGTTCGACAAGAAATGTCACTCTCCCTGCTTCGATCTAAAGTTAAAAATAGAAACGATGTCAATGTTTCCGTAATATACAGAAGATTACACATGTCATTAAATGCATTACCTTCAGATTCCGCATTTGTGGCAGTAAATTTCCAGTGACCAATCTGTGTTGAATCACTTGATTTAATCTCTGCAATGTACTTCTTTTTTCCGCCTGAGTTATTGGATCAGGTGGAACTATTCTTTCCTGCATGAAACAGATTAAATAAATTATGACAAACCACCTGTTCCTCAAATTTCATGCAAAGTACCTTGCTTTGAAGGCAATTATAAATTTAGTTTACCCGAATGCAAGCCGGTAGACGACTGTACGTGCCCGTTGTCAGAACTTCAACTGCTGCTGGGATATGGAAATTTGGTAACCGAGCATGCACAAGGGTTTCACGAGCCATTCTGGCTAACATATCTGCAGTATCCACAAAAAGAAGCGACTGTTTATCTAAGAATGCCATGATGTGCTGAAAAATAATTTAATGTTTTGGTATTTCATTCCCGCGGCATTAAAGTTGACTAAAAATAAAAACTCACTGCAGATTTGTCAACTTTAGAAGCACTATTGGCCCATTTGACCAATGCCAATAAACGGACAAATAATTGCCGAGTCCTTGCGGAAAAATTGTAGATTTCAATTTTACGTTCCATATCGGTTTTCCTTGGTAATCTAAATTAAACGACGATTGATATAATGTTGAAATATCCTCTAGATATAAACGCAGTAAAGTATACATACAACTCAGCAAGCACGGTCAGCTCATGATACGTCCTTTGTATAATAAAGTCTATTAACATCCCCAGAGAGATGGAACCTACACGATTACCCTCTTGAGGTATATTATTCGTTACAGGCGTTTGATGCCCTTCCAACGGTATAGGAGCCATCTCGATCAATTCTCTACACTGTACCTAAATATTTATTCACCAAATATGCAAATATTGCACTTGTTAAATGATAACCTCACACGACAAAAGTGCCCGTGCTGCAACAGAGACGAGATGGGAGATTGCTCACGTGCAGGGTCGCGCGATCGCGTTCTGTGCTGCCCTCAGTGGAGAATGCTAGATCAGTGCCATCCCCTAAAGATGGCACCGCAATTTCATATCACATCTTTATTTGTTTCAATTTTCGAGTTTCTTCATAAAAAATAAAATTTGACGGGCGCCAGTCATCCTTTAGGGCCTCCATACTGACATGGTAAAAATTCAAATGATTCGATACAGTTTCGAAAAAAATTCACAAAAGATTGACCTCCTAGGTGTTCCTTCCTCGTCACCTTATCGGAAAATCCGTACTTTTGTGATCATTCAATGAGAATACCAAGGTATTATCCAGGTACCTTGTTTACTATATATTCCAGTAGAGGGACCCACTGCAGTGACGCGATTGAACTTTTCACGCAACCTGTTCGTTTACTCTTCTTCAATTATACCTGAGCAACGGTTAGTAAAAAGTCCGCCAAATTTAATTTTACATAACTTCATCAATCGGACTATGATGAGTAATAACCTCGTTGTAAAACAGAGATTTGTTGTAGCTCAGGATAAAAATTACATCAATTAATCTCATAAATTGCTTAGGCACGTGAGAAAGGAAAACCTATATTGTGTTTTAAAATGTTAAAGCAATTATTTTAATAGAAGGTTAATCCAAGGTGAACGTACCTATGAAACGCGCTTTCTGTGTACCTCGATGATTATTTTTGCTCTGTTAACGTTCCGTAATATATCAAATTATAGTATATTATATCGCACGTAAACATACGATAAGATTTGTAATAACCTGTTTTCGCCTTGGTTGCGTCAAGCAGAACGGAACAAGGCAGTTTAAAAGATATTTTTACGTAAATAACTAGTTTGACTTTACCGACCGAACTATCGACCCGCATCGTACTCTGCTAAAAGGGTTTTTTCTTGTATGCACTATATTTCTATCTTAAGAAGACCCAGTGTATAAAATTCATTTTACCCAGCAGATTACACTTGACTGCTTCATTTATTTGCTGATTGTTTCGAAGGCTGGACTCTCGTTTTTATTTATCAGTTTGTGTACCCTTGCGGTATCAGAATTCATGTTCAAAGAATTATTACTATAATGTTTACGTTAAGTATTTCTCTTTGGGTAACGCTTGTGTTTATACAAGTCCAGATTGCGGTGCTGATTTCACAACATCCAAAATTGTTAGTGGTCTCCTATGATGGTTTCAGGTATTTATTCTATTCTATTAATACTTTGCAATACTTCGTTGATGCGGATTAAAAATAATTCCTTTTTTCCTTTGTAGGTATGATTATTTGATTCGCAATTTGACTCCTTTTATGGATGGCTTAAAGACTAATGGTACATATGCTGATTACATGAAGAACATTTTCATTACAAAGACGTTTCCCAACCATCATTCTATTATGACAGGGCTGTACGCCGAAACACATGGTGTTGTTGATAACAGTGTACTTGACCCTGATTCGGGCGAAATGATTAAGTATTCATATAAAATGTTTCATTACAATGAAAAAATATCTCCAATTTGGGTATGTGTCCACGTTTGAATATAAATTATCTGTGTTTATTATATTTATATTTATTATTTCTCATATTAAAACATAATCAAGATAACCTTTAATTTATAAATACAAAACTTAATTGCAGTTTGTATTTGTTTTATACAGACAATTAATGAAATGGCAAATAATGGAAGACGTAGTGGGTTAATGATGTGGCCTGGGGGTCACTTCAAGTATCAGAATATCTTTCCCACTTATGCACAGGTATAATTCGTCTATTCAATATTCTTCAAATGTCAAATCTGTATTTATTCAGAATTTTTTTCTACAGGACCTTAACATTTCTGTCTCCTGGGAGCAGAGAATCGACGTTCTAATATCCTGGTTCACAGATCCAATTTCTCCGATAAATTTTGGAGTATTATATATAGAAGAACCAGATTTACTTGGTCATGCCGTGGGTATACATGGAGATCTCTTCGATAAAATGCTTATTAAACTTGATCGTATTACGGAATATTTACATGATCAACTAGGTCGTCATGGTCTTACCGACGTTAATGTTATTCATCTGAGTGACCATGGAATGGAAAGTGTTACTTTAGATAGAATCATAAATATAACAAATTATATAAATGATTCTGATTATAAAATAATCGAATCTCCAACAACGGTACATATATACCCCAAGAATGGTCAGTTATCATAAAATAATCATGTCAGAATCATTCATAACTAGTAATTTAATATGCAAGGTTATAATTATTTTCCTTATTTTCTTAGGAAAAGAGGATCTAATTTATCAAAAACTAGCAGTAGTAAGTAATAAAACGAGGCATTTCAATGTTTATAAAAGGGCTAATATACCGCACGAGTATCATTATGGTAATAACTTGAGAGTGGGCCCTATCTTTGTCGTGGCTAATTTGGGTTATGCATTTTCATCTCTTTACAATTTTATTCCGGACTATGAAAAAGCATACAATTTCACAGGTAATTATAAGAATGTTTCAACTAGAAATATTTATTCTATTCTATATATCCCTAATAAATATATCTTCTACAGTTAATAACAAGAGTGAATTTGGATTACATGGTTACGACAATAAAATTAAGGAGATGCATCCGATATTTTTTGCAAGTGGTCCTGCATTTCAATCAAAATGCAAATTGGAACCTTTCGATAGCGTAGATTTACTTCCTTTATTTTGTGAAGTACTTAATCTGTCGTGCCCTTCTGTGAATGGTACGTTGCAACACTTTCGTAAGTGTTTAAAACAGTCGGCAGACATTAAATCTTCAACTGTAATTATATGTGAGTACAATTAATGCATTGGTAAAATTTTACATCTTACTGTAAATTATCAAAGGATATAACCATGATAAGCTGTTCATAAACTAAGCATATAATTTCCTGAACATTATTATTTTCAGTGGCAATTGTCATCTGTGCCTTATTAATTTTGGGTGGACTCGGAGGTGTACTTGTTCCACATTATATTAGCAAGATGAAAGGACATCAAAGGTCGGTTTATGAAAATGATTGGAACGTGTGATATGCTGTTGCTTGATGTGTTGTTGCATTTTTTATGCATTTATAAGATTTCCATATTAGAGGATTTCCTTCACTAAGAGGTGCAAAAATTAGTCTATTATTAATTATAATTTATTACATGTATTTAACATTACTTATTTAGACAATCAATAAGTGATCCTGACATGGAGCGACTTTTAGAGGAAAGTGCTTCCTCGGACTATGTTTGGCGTCAGAAGATAAATTACTCGATACTACCTAATACTAACAGTAATGGACTATAAATATTTCTTTGATCACCTGAGAAAAGTGATACTGCCGAAATTTGTACAGTGTCGATATAAGTGTACATATTCACTCTTTAACTATGTTTTTCTAGAATTACTGTACTTTTTACATACTTAATCTTTTCCGTGACAGTGACAGTTTCCAATAATGTAATTACATATGATTTATACAATTTCAATTAACCCCCAAATGGTGATGTGCGTAAATAAGGCAATCGAAGGTGTGTGTATAACTAGTCATTTGATAATATACGTATAACATTAATTCGATTGTACATAAATCTATTGAAGGGAATATAGTAATTAAAGTTCCCTTGTTAAAGCCATTTTCGTGTTTTTCTTTTCACTATTCTCCTTAGGAACACGAAGAAGAAAGCTGATTGGTGATAAATAGTATCGTTAAAGCGGTACGAGAAGTCATTGCATACGTTCAATCGTACACAATGTTTCTCTTTTATATTTAATCCTGTCTAAAGATGTTTTACTTATTTTTAAACTTCGAACAAAATGATGTGAACTGAAGTGACCTGGAGTGCAGGGTTGCCAAGATTAGGCCTGCATAAAATAGGTCGTGCCACCACTGAAAATGGCAACCTCGGAATGTACAATACTGTGTGTAAAAAAACTTTCTCTGCGTATAGTAAACGTCATTATTTATGCACATTTTTTTATTTCTTTGTCATTGGTTTAGGCACTAAAATTATAGTCGTGGTATAAAACTCTTTTAAATTATATCATACGTCGGTTAAGTAAACAATAAAGGTACGTTCGAAGGATCTGTTAACTGAGATAATTTTTATTAGAGTTGATACTATGACTTTTACCTTTTCTTATTCGCTTATCGTATACATGTATATTAATTTTCACGCGTTATCACTTTTGATAATAGGTTCGCAGTGTTAACTTAAAAGGCAACTACTTTTTTTAGTACAAAACAAGTACTTGAGATGTTTTGTCCATAACCTACTGCAGTTGATGTTAAAGTCCATTATCATAATATTATTATAGTGATATTATACGGTGATGTTTCAGGTGCATGGCCTATTCAAAGAACGAGAAAAAAAATGCAACCTCAGTTAGCCGTTACTCCAAGAAAATTGCCAGTATTTGTCTTTCCACAGAGTGTCACGTTTTACTTGGATGATCAGTCGACGCACAAGCAAATTTTAACTCTGTACAATCCTTATGACTTTGCAGTGAAATTTAAAGGTGAGTTTATGAGTTTGGAATACCATTTCGAATACATATTAAAAACAGGTATGGTTTATGTCAATCGGTGATATGTCTTAGTTTTGTGCACTGCACCAGATAAGTACAAAGTCGTTGATCCAGAAGGTACAATAAAATCACGATGTTGCGTCGATATTGTCATCCGACATACAGCTCTTATGATCGCAAACTGCAACACAATTGACAAATTCAGAATAAAAATGCAAGAACATCCTACGAAACAGGTAGCGTAAATAATGACTATCGTATTACATCGTTTTATCGATAGCTTATGAAATATCTTGTTTTATATGTAAGGCCATCGGCAAACGGGATGTCGAAGCTAAATTGATCAGTGGAACTATAGAAACAGCCGGAAGAGGTACTCCGGATCCAGATTCGTTTCAGCAGTTTCCAGCAAATGAACAGAGGCAACAACAGTCCTATGCACTTATTGCTCAAAATAGGACAATTGAAAGTAGGTATTGGGTACCTGATACATTGCAATAATTTCTTAAAAATCTTATTTAGATATAATGGTATTTGTATTTATGCATACCATTATTCTGTGCTTTTAGGGGAAACGAATTACGTGGCACTCGTAGCAGGATTAATTTGTATAGTTGGTCTGCTGTTACCCACCCAAGGAGAGAGTACTCACCCAGTGCCAGATTATCTTCACCTTTCTTCGCACTTTAAACTTATATTATCATTTGTTTTAGGCAAGTAGAAAAAAATTCAACTGCAGTTCAATCACAGTCGATACTAATTCATTACTGTTTTTTTTTTTCAGGTATGGTTACAATAAATGTCTTGAGGCTGTAAAGACATGGTGGAATGTATAAAGCAAATGTTATATATTAAGTAGAGATACGGAGCAAAGCACAATTACTTTAAGACTTTTTTTAATTTAGATCTCATTATTAAGCATACTTGACACTAGTCCTAAAGATTAAGCTCACACCCTACCATTACGCAAAGATACCAATATTTATTTACAAAACCCGGGAAACTTATTTTTTAATACACAGAATATTATATATTAGTTTCTCGAAACTAAATCAATTATCGCCTGTGTCCGCAAAGGGTGACGCGAATGTTATGTATATATTGAAATGGTTCGCGAGTGGCAACAGGAAGGTGTTTCCTTTTTTTATATTTACAATAATTATTACGTATGATTCAGCGATTGTTAATAAGCTGGAATCATATGCGACATAAGTGATTTGAATAAACAACTGCGGCATGTTCGTGCTGAAAGGTTTCTGGAGAAACACCATCGAAACGTGAACCTTGAATTTAAGTTGCAATTTTTAGTTGCGTACGATAAAGAAATTCGGATATTTTTATTATTCCATTTTATACGTGTCCTGAGCAGTCAATTGGAATAAAATGCAACAATTAATCCGTGTGGAAGTTGACCTCCTCATTTGTACGCGTGTTTGTATGTAAAATGTAACTTGAACGATTATCACTCCGAACTGCCATAATTACTCGAGGGAAACCTTGTACATTTTTCTAGAAACTTAAAGTTGATATTCTCCGATGATATACTTTTTTTCGGTCACGACCTAAACTCCCTTTGAGGTAACCGAAGATGTAACTGCCAGTTTCTCATCCGTGAACTGACATCGATGCCGCACTTTGTAATCTTTAGTTCGTACAATTAATTAGAAACCGATAATTGACAGGAACGGTGGTGTTTAAAGTTGAAAGGTGCGCAGAATCCAGTTCACACTTTGCAGTTTTAAAGGCACGTTACGTGTTCAACTTGCCAGTTGTTGCATGGAAGAGCGTCGAGAATGTCGCTCGTCTCGACCGTCCTCGTTACGGTGCTACTTCGTTTTTCAATAGTTTCAGGTTTGTTAAATCTTTCGGACAACCTTTTCACAAAGGGAAGAAGTCATTAAGTACTATTTGCAAAACGAGAACCGTTTGAAAACAGGTAGTCACGGCGTCAAAATCCTAGACGTCGATGTGCCCGAGAGCGTGGAGAACGGGACCGGACCCGTGGAGTTGAAGTGCAATTTCAAAATCTCGGGAGCGGAAATCATCTCGGTGAGATGGTTCCTCGATTACGAAGAGATTTTCACAAGTAAATAGCTCGGCATGAGAGTTCCTTTAAAAAGGAAATAAACTCTTGAAATAATTATTCTCCCCTGCAGCCCGACCACGGTACAGAGGCATCATCGGGACGATAGCGGACCGCGATACGCCGCGACTCCGTCGCTCAAAATTGCACTCCACCCTTCGTCTTCGACGAGTCACCTACGACACGAGGGGTACCTACACTTGCCAAGTGGTGACGAACTTGGGGCGAGACACGAAATCGAAAAGGATGGACGTCTACGGTAAATTTTCGAGCAAAGAAGAAAAGGACGAAAGGTCCTCGCTCTCGTCTAAACTCGTCCCCTTTGCAGTTCCGCCGATCAGTTTCGACGTTTCCGCTAAAATCTCCGGGAAACCGGTCGTCCTGTGCATCGCCCGCGGCGCGATGCCCACTCCCGGTCTGCGGATATTTTCTCCGGAAGGGATCGCGTTCGAACCGCTGGGAGAAGAAATACGGAACGACGACACGAAGGATTCCTTGATCGTGCAGAGAGTGGCGATACGGGAAATGCCTCGGGAACCCGTCGTAGTCGAGTGCGAGCTGACCATTCCGCCGGTGTACAAGCGCGTCAAGAAGATCGTCGTCGACCCAAGTTCGTTCCCTTCCCTTGCTCGCACTTTCCCCGTAACTCCCCGTAAAATCACCCTTGCACTTGCACTCGCAAGTAGCTCCCTTTTGCCCTCCGTGCGCGAAGCCGGGCCGAAGATCGATACATTTGTTGACGAGGATGCAATTATTGTTAACAGGTGAATTAACCCAACCGAGCAGCGGCGTCGGAGACAAACGCTGGTCCGCGCTCTTCGTCGGGGCGCTCCTAACTCTCGCGACGCTCGCTCACTGATCGCCGGGTATTTTTAATAAGCGTAGGACATTTGGACCCGCTCGTCCCTGCTTTCCCTTTCCGGAGAAATCCGCGAAATTTCGTCAAACTAAATATATCGAAAGTCTCATGGGAGCGCGCTTTGAGCGATGTGCTCCGAAGCGAACGATATTCGGACTCGATTCACCGAGCACGTGGATGCCGACATCGATCCTATCGTCGACGCGGCTCTTGCAAATGATAAGGTACACAATGTGAAAGCCAGAATCGACGCAAGCAAAAGTACCCGACTTCGGTTTACAAATCATGCACTTCCCAGACTCTGGTCGATAAGTTCTTCCGTCTTAGAGTTAGAGAATAATTAAGACGCGCCCGACACGAAATTCGCGTCGGTGGTGTGCCGTTAATTTCGATACTTTGCGGGGGCGATTAACTGGAGAGGTCTTTGGTCTTTGGGATCGGGATCGGCGCGCAAACGCGAGACCCCGAAGAGCCGGAGCAAAGAGACGCGGTCCTGTCGCGGATCTCGGGGGTGGCCAGGGGGTTGGACCTCCGGATATGGTGGGGGAAGCCATCTCGAAGAAGATCAACAGGAGGCACCCCCGCGAATTGTCATTTGCAACCGGACTCTCATCCGAAGAGGTGAGTCGCTGGATGCGGGACGTTCCGGGTCCTCTTCCTCGTTTCTCCATCTCTGTCGCTTTTCGAATCGGAAGCGACGACCTCCTCGGCGAAATAGTAACGAATACCAATTAAAGGGAAAACGAAATTCATTTGAAATCGGGTAACCGTCCGTCGCGATTAAGTTTCCAGTGTCAACGTCCAAGTGTGATGATACTCGCGTTTAAAAATAGAAAGATGTATTTCTGGATTTCCTTGGATCAAACGAGATCCATTTCTTCTTTTTCTTTTTTGGCTCAGGTACCGCCAAGTCCGTGTTTTTTTCCTTTACGAAGTCGAGTCGTTCGAAGGATCTTCGATTTCTAAGTGAACGCCTCGGCGACACGGCAGAGTCTTAAGGACGCGACCGGTGAATGGAATCCCTTCGGGGAGTGGAAGGATTATAATTGGCTCTTGTAGCGGCTTCTTTTCGGATCGCTGCACTTTCTGACAATGCTCCAAACCGTGCACGCTTTACCGAGAAGGAGACGTTACTTTCCGACTTCCTCCTCGTAGCCAGTTATATTCGCCCGAAGGATTTCCCGTAACTAAATATCCTTCATCTGAACACTGATTTTCTTTCAGGTGCAAGAAACATCCGTCGAACCGGCCATCCGACCAAGAGGCAAGAACCAGGATGGGCCATTATGCATGCGTGATCGTCTTCTTTGCGGGTAAAGTAACGTTATTTAATTCCCCATCGCAGCTTTTTAAAGGGACGCAAAGAAGTCGTTTCCTCTGCACCTTTATTTTTAGAAGCGACGGACAAAAAAATCGGGCGTCGGGGATCTCGGAAACCCGTGGAAATGGCTCGCCGCCGATTAATCGTCATTAAAATGACCACACGGGCGGTATCCCCGTTTGCGGTTCGATTCTCGTTCCACTCGGGACATCCTAATCCGAATTGTCTCCTCCAAAGCCGGCAGAGACAGCGCGCGATTACGAGGGAGTAACGTTGCTCGGTGATAATACTACCAAGAAACACCAGGGCAAAGAGGGTGGTCCGCAATCCTCTCTGGCCTCCTCGGAAGATTCCGCGGCGTGGGCGGGTAATCCGAAATCGCCGGGTTCATTGTCCGCTTGTTCGGCCCAATGAAATCATTTCCCTTGATCCTCCCGTGGATCTTTGACCCAAGCTTCCGATAGGACTGTTTTCGCTACGTTCTCATATCTTTATCCTGCTATCCGGAAATCGGCTCACCTGGTTCCAAGGCCGTTCCTGGTAGGGGGATTTTCGATGGTCCCGCGATCCGCGAGGCTTTTTCTTTTCAAATTCCCTCGACCGGGAATCTTCGGCAAAGAAATAAATGCCGATCGTTTATCTTTCCCATGTGGCGTTATTCGTAATTAGCGCGCATCGAATGCGCGCCGGCTAGATCCTTATTAATCGTGAACGCTTCGATAGGTCCTACCGAAATGCATGGAATCTTTATCGGTGTCCTTGCTCCGCATTAAATACGTTTGATCGTGTCTCTCCCTAGCTCCGAGATGGCCAGTGGATCGTATCGATCTCCGAAAGCATCGATGCAAACGAGACCTGAACTTATCAGTCCAGAATTTATTCTACCAAGGGGGGAGATAGTAAAAGTTGCCGCAAAGTTATGTACCACCTCTGGGCGGTGCGGAACTTGTAATTACTTAATTGACATTCATTAGTAGCACCGAAGGGCCGTCGCTACATCCATAAATGTATCCATCCCGAAACATGGGGACGCACGAGGCGAATAAATACACGGAATTAGTACTTTTTGCTATTCGTGTCCCTTTTTCTTCTTAATTAAGTAGTATGACGTTGAAGATGATCTTCGTAACCAAACGGGGGAACCGAACCGATTCTCTCGATTTCGGTGATTTATAAATAAAAGTAGCTTATCGAAATAGAAGCGATACCTGGGTTTACATGGAAGCGTACTTCTTGAATGTTTCAGTATGCGCGCTTTGGACATTCGGAGAAACCTTGTCCTGCGACCAATGCGGCCGAGAATGCGTGAACAGCTGCGGGACTCGCCAGTTTCGAGCTTGCTGCTTTAACAATCTGAAAAAGAGGGTGCCCGATCTTGGGCTTAAACTTTGGGTGGCACCTCGGAGATACACAAGGCACCTACACCTCGTTTACGATGCATAACTTCGATCCCGTTCCGCAAAGACTATCTGCAAGACAATGAGCGACCGGTCATCCATAAAAAGACTTCAACCACCAAATTCGTGATACTACCGAACTGCTCGCAAAAATAATCCTTCTACGTTTATTAAAGCAACTGCTTCGAGCAAAATAAATCTTGTCGCCTCGTATTGATTTACTTTGGAATTAAAACGTTAATAGCACTCCTAAAATGAATCTCATTGTTCGGTTAAAGACAAATAACGCTTGCATCGCATTTTCCAAGAGAGCCTTCCTTCTTGACGCTTATCAACGCTTTCATTTTCTTACGTGTCCTAACTGGAATTCATAGTCGTTCTTACGAACTATTGTAAGATCGTCTTCGGTACTATACAATGACCTACCGGAAGCTTGCAAATTTCAAAGCGATCGCGAGACAATGCTTGAAATAGGTATGCAAAGGACGCGGGTACTTTGCAGTAATGATTGAGTTTAATAAAATCTTTTTCATGACGAAGATGTAAGTGTATAATTAATTCCTTGTATTTCTAGTAGCGTTCGCTTCTTGAGTTATACAAATGTGTCATAAGAACTTACGTCGAATGTAAATTAGAACGCAACAGATTTAACTGAGAAGCATCAATTGGTCCAGTCTCTTAAACGTTGTCCCAACCTTTCACGCATGAGCTTTAACTTTGCCTTGTCCGTAAGATCGTGTTTACTTAATTTATTCAAGGATTTTAAGGTTTTTCGCTTAAGCATGTTCCACTGCAGTTTATCTAACCCTGGATAAGAGTCCGCGCTAAAAAAATTATTAAAATCATCCACTGATTTTAAATTCTTCAACATTTTTTCCTTATGAGCTTGCACATCGGTTGTCCTCTTTTCTTTTTCATTTGTCGTACTTATAGTTTGCAATCGCTCTTTTTCTTTTACCACAGCAGTTGTTTTTTCCTCTACTGTTTCACAGAATTTTTTTCTCCTCGTTGCTTTGCAAGATGACGTGCATTCTTCTTTTTTCCTTTTACACGATACCGGTAGGCTACAGAATTTACTTTTTGAAGTATCCTTACTGCTACTCGGATCTTCTGAACTTTTATTTAATAACGTTTTATCATTAGTTTTTTCGGCCGTAGAGTCTAGTTTAAATCCTTGACGACTAACTGGTTCTAAAATACAGTATCAATATTTTCATTCTAACAAATTGCATGTACTGTACTAAAAGAGGATGAATAAGATAAATAACACCGTGGATAACCTACGTCCAATATCATCGGTTTGCAATATATTACATCTGTTTTCATTTGTTTCGTGTTCTGCTCGTAAAAGATCTAATTTTGGCACATTGTCCTCGGGTCCATTAGTTTTCAGTTCAACAGCGAATTTTAAATCTTCCATTTCGTTGTGTCCAACTTTGATTAAATTAAATATGGTTTCGGTTTGCTGATGATGCGTGGGAATGCTATAAATAAAATGAATATTTAAATTTGCAAATACTATGTGAAATATGGTAAAATATCAAATACCAATTTAGTTCTTCGTCGATCCAGGAAACATCAAGCCAAGCCTTCAAATTATAAGGTAGAACATAGTCATGTGGAAGCCAAGGTACACCAACGATCTCAAATGCTTTAAGATAATGGTACAGATCATCGTACCAATTACAACATCTTTTCACTAAATACCGTGAAAGAACCCTAAAGAAAAAATATTTATTCACCATACTACCAAACTTATAGAGTAAATTAAAATGACATACCATATCCTACTTATGACAGAGTAAGCGATTACTGATACTGCCCATGCTTGACCTAAACTAATTCTCGCCTTGAGAAATTTAGCCGCATTCATCGTAACATCCTCTATGCGACACATCAGCTTTGCACAGCCCTGGGTTCTGACAAGAACATATTCCAACATTTGCCTCGTCGGCAAGATAACAATATCATGGTCATTTGCTATGTTATCCTTTAAACGTTTATATTCTTTAGCGAGGTCCAGCACCAAGTAATTCAGAAGCGCTCTATTAACTTTCTCCATATTTTTCAAGCCCTTGTCGCTTCTGAATTTACTTTTCATTCGATATATTAAACGGCTCAGGATTGCAGCTTCTGTATGCAGAATATCCTGAGATGTTATGTCTTGTTCAATTTTTCTGACAGTTGCTAAGAACTTGGATACTCCTTGAAGACATATAGTACTTTAATACAACATTAAATAAAAAGCATACAAATGTGAATACTGTAAGGTTGATATCTTTACCAAAATCTGGTTTGAACACACGCCAAGTATTCATTGGGGGCCGCTCCAAATGTAATTTGTTCCAAAGTACTTCCATATTATCACAAATAAACAATACAATATCTCAGTGCAACCTCAATAAGTAGGGAAAAACATGAAAAGATATTGAAAGTTCATTTTTTATTCTTAGTGCTAGGAGTGTTGTTATTAAAACCACAAGTTAAAATCCACGGTTCGCAATGTAAAATCCACGCTTAGGGCATATAACCATGTTCCGAGTTTTATCACTATCAGAAAGAAGATCGAGAACATGAGAGTAGCTACGGCTCAAATAAAAAAATCAGTGCAGGCTGGGCAGGTCGAAAAACCGCTGAAAATGATCCCACCGCATTTACCTCGAAAATCGCTTCAATCCTCAGTAGGGTTGTGTAAGTATAATACGCATGTAATGTACGTGATTTTCTACGTGTATATCACAACGTATAATACGTCTCTAGTTTTCTACGTGAGCGCAAAGTATATTACACCCTTCTATTTCTAAATAAAAAATAATAAATCCCATTAGAAATTTGATATTCAACAATGTTAAGTCAAAAAAATTTTGAACTCGTCAAATTAATTAGTCCTTAAAAATCAGGGCGTTTATTACGTATTTTTAACGAGAGCGCTCACTTCTCGCACTTTCATCTCACGTGGGTTTATTCCCCGAATTACGTATTCGCTATGTGAAAGAACGTAGTTTTCACGAGAGCGCTCACTTCTCGCACTTTCATCTCACGTGGGTTTATTCGCTGAATTACGTATTCGCTATATGAAAAACCGAGATCACTAGCACTTCCGGTCTAGTAATATTGAAATAAGGGTACACACCCTGTAAATCGAAAATTGTTGAGTGGTAGTGAGCAGAGATGAGTTGGGAGATTGTTCACGGGCAGGGTCGCGCGATCGCCAAATCAGAGATGAGTTGAGAGATTCACGGGAAGGATCGAGCGACCGCGTCCTGTGCGACCTCCGGTGGAGGATGCAGACGGCTAATGCACTTGCCACCTGTTACAACTCTGGGCAGCCCGAGAACCGGCTGAAAAAGTGATGAACTCCTCACAAAAACTCCAAACCCTGTACCTCCTCCGAAAAAAATAGACCGCGCGACCCTGCCCGTGAGCAATCTCCTAACTCATCTCTGATTAAAAGTAAAGAAGATGACTCGAGTTCTCTTCTTTACGTCATAAACGCCCTGGTCGCGTCACATTCATCTCCGGCTACGTGAGCAGTACGACCGCTACGGACCGCTAGATGGCAGCGGCTAAACCATGGTGACAATCCAGGGTACGGGTACTCTGTGTTACTCCGTATTCGAAGCGACAAACAGGGTTGAGTACAGCTCGGCGCTGCTTCACCGGCGATGGCATCGGGTGGCGGTACGTATCGTAATTGTTCCAACAAGTTTGGTACAGTTTTCCTTCCTTAACCTTTCTTTGAGCAACTTTTCAATCGGTCAACAGTACCGTGTGTGCGCGCACGCGCCACCGCAGAGGTTAGGACTCATCGTTCACTTAAAGCAGATTTTGTCACTAACACACAGAAAGTACTACCGAGGAACGAACGGAGGCAGTGCCCGCTCAACCCATCGCCAATGTTGTGTCCGATGCAGCCCACGTAAGGAAGATTTCCTAAAAACTTATTTCTAATTATGGCAACTCGCGAGACGTGGCTGTACGGAGTAAATGACAATGAGGGACTCGAAGGAGCAGGATCGAGGCTTCCGTAATGCGTTGGTAAATAAAATACTCTCGATGTGTCTAAACGTGTAACATATATTTAGTTATATGCATGTGTCGATGAATTTATTTCGACGATGTCTTTTAAGGGAGATAAAAAGTTTGAGTACGCTTTGTAACGTTACAAGCATTTCAAGACAAATACTGGTTACAGGGAAAAATGTTAGGTTAGAAGGGGACGAGTATAAGAACCTTCCGATGCATCTACCATGGTGGTTTTTACTTATCCGTTCAGCCGTCGTCTCGTACCATGGCAAAACCTCTCGAGTGAATCGTGAAGATGCATAGCTTCTCAATCGATATCTGCCAATTAAACAAAGATCCATTCTTCTACTTATAGAAAGTCATAACGATGGATAAGGACCCAGATCTAGCAGGTGTGCCGTCGAAAAAGTCTCGCGTGGAAGTGCAGTCCCTCCCTACAAGGCAGTACTTGGACCAAACCGTTGTGCCCATTCTGCTACAAGCTCTATCGAGTCTGGCAAAAGAGAGACCACCGGATCCCATCAGTTTCTTAGCCGGGTATCTATTAAGGAACAAAAGCCAGTACGACAACGGCGGGTCCCCGCCGACTAGTCAGTGAACATAGGAACCTGTGCAAAGGTGCGTGTTAAATGGTTTTCTCCGATATCATTGGACCTTGATCGTGAGATTACGTGTTTGCGAAGATGTACCATGAGAACTGTAAGACAAATAAATCTACGTCAGTTTTTAGGTAGGAAGTAAGGGATTTAACTAAGAATCCCACCTGAAACGTAAAAGGAATTTTGGTTTAGTCTCTTGGTGGGATTCCTACGCGATCCCAAGTAAATTCTCGTGGAATATCCATTTAGGATTCCATCCGAAAGAGATTCCTCCGAAAGTTACCATGTCGCTCTGTTTGTTTATCGTGCTAAGAGACAATATGGTAGAGATATTTCAACTATTTTTCAAAGTAACTGCCTTCGAACTGGCCCGACAGACCCTCCGTTTGGCTCAACGGCCGTCCGAACTGCGGAAGAAGGGAGGGGTCAGATCATTCGTCGTGATTTTACCCGATCCCCGGGCAGAATCTAACGGATCGCAATCACTGCAATAACTCCGGCGAATTGGGCGTCGCATTCGTTTTAATTGGATCAACAATTTAATTGGAGGCAATTAAATGTAATCGGCCAATGAATCAGGATGGAATTTATTTAACCGATCGAGAGCTGATAATTTTCTCCTCGCAGTCGTAAAATACACGTCCATGGAGGAATAGGCGTCGATTACATCGGTGTCGTCGCGTTTGAACGTCCGCTTATAAACGAGTATCGACGTCGAGGGTCTGTCGGCATTTCGAACGGTTCTCCGTCCTCTGCTCGTTTCATTAGATGATTTATCGCCAACGACGCGACGCTTTGAAACGAGGTACATCGTCCTTTAAATAATCGCGGATCCGTGAAAATTCCCTCGCCCCTTCGAATCCGGGCCAGAGTTTCCTCGCGTCTCTTTAACCGAGCATTTTCTCGAACGGACGGCGACGGTGTTTCAATTTGGGGCAATCGAGGCCGATCCGGGCGCGCGTGCGGGCCGGTGCTGGCGCACCTTTGGCGCGGTTCCACGGGAAAGGGTAATGGGAAAAGCGTGTCACGCTCCGGGTGGAACCGCGAGGGCCGGGAACCCACGGGGATGAGCAGCGAGCGCGCCCCTTCGTTAATGGCGTAGCCGTGTTTCGGCTCGTCGGCTCGGCTCGTGCCCGCGACGTTCGACCGGCAGCATATTGAAATTCCGTCGGGATTACGGCCGGTGATCGCTCGACTCGGACCGATCTAAGCGGTCGTCGAGATCAGCGATCGCGGGGTTTGCCGAGTCGCAGGGTAAGTCGTGGAGAAACGATCGCGTACCTCCGAAGAGAGTAATCTCGTGGAAGCGTCTCTCCCCGAACGTAGGATTTTATCGACGAGGAACCGGAGACCGATTTTTTTTTTTCGGGGGAATCGGAGTCGTTAAACCGTGGAAGGCGTGGAGCGAGTCTCGCGTTCCACGAACGGCGCAGATTTTCATTTCAGATTTGGCTCGCTTTCGCGACCTCGAGGGCTGGGACGGAGGCGGAGTCGAGAAAAAAGGGGAGCCGGTCGCCGAGCTCGCTCGTACCCCCTTGATTTTGATTTAGCGGGCCCTGCTGTCGGCGAGTCGCCGAGTCCCTCCAGTTCGGAGGAAAGTTACCCGAACCCCTCGGATGCCGCCCCTTAAGACTCGGGCCGCACTCGCGCGGACCCGCGCGGACCCGCGCGGACGTCCAAGAGGATTCCGCCGTCGATCCGTCAGCGGCCGAGCCGTAGGTCGGCATCGGTCGCCTCGGCCGCGCTTAATCCGACGTTTAATCTCGCGTCTCGCAGGAGAGACCGGGGAGCGCCGAGGGATTCTGGCCGGGAATTACGGCAAACCTTGATTTGTGGCCGCGCGCGACTCCTCGCCGAGGAATTATTTATAATTTGCGGGCATTAAGCAGCCTCCCCGCGCGGACCCCTGTGATCCTTCTTGAAATATGCTCGCGGTCGCGGCCGAGCCGGCGCGGGAGGCTGCCGACTTCTCGACGGATCACGGGGATCACCGACGAGCCGCGATCGACGCCCGCTCGAGACGACGTTTGGTCGTAACGTGGAAAGTAACGCCATAGTCCGGAAGCGCTTTTTCGGCGATCGATCGCCTTGCGCGTCGCGTGCGAAAAATCTGGATATTACGCGTCCCCTGCTGTCGGCCCGTTGCGGATATTTCATATTCCTAGGATATTCCCGGGAAGTACGCGGGTATTCGGCGAGGGCGCGGTGAACATACGAATGGGTCGGTTTCGAGGATTCCATCCCATTTTGAACGACCGCCCGGAGACAGGAAAAATGTCCGCTCGAAATACGCGGACAGAGAGTGCCGATATTTCGCGTAATATCCGGATCTCCGCGGTCCGTCGGGGACGAAGGCGCAAAAACGCGCGGAGGGGCCCGTCGCGATTTTTGGAAAATCGTCGCGGGCCCGCGTTCAACGAGAGACCCTTTATCGTCACCTGGTAAAACCCGACGTCGACGCGTCGCGGGGGTGTTCGCCGAGGGAAGGTGGGCCGATCGTCTCGACTCGGCTCGTGCAACGGCAAACCGCACGGTTTGCGAGCCGTCCTATCCGTCTAAACATCGAAGGCACCGACTTTCCTCGACGGAAGACCCGGGCCGCGCGCGGAAATACGGCTCGGAGATATTTACCGAAACGGTAATTGGCAAACAAATCGGGAGGAGTCGGCAACGAGAGCCAGGACCGCCGACTCCGGAGCGCCCTCGAGGTCGTCGTCGCCTCGCGTTTCCGGACTGTCACCGAGCGCGGGCATGTCGCTCGATCGTCGGCAAGGACTTTGCCCGATACCGCTCCGGTCTTTGATTCGTCTCGCGGAAACTACGAGACGCGGGGTCTCGCCCCAACCGGAAAATATCTGTAAAATATCTGGGCCGAATCGGACAGACGGCGCGCCGCTCGGCGGGTGTAAGCCGCCGGGTCGAGTTCCTCGAGTTAAATTTTCATTTGCAACTAGTTAAAAAGTTAGCGAATGCGAGGAACGGCCCGGACTCGATTCGCCCCCGGAGCAAGGATGGCGACTCGGAGCGGCCGGCTTCGATAACGAGGAGAGCGAACTTCCGTCGCCGACGACTTGACCTCGAGGGGTTGCCGGCCCGGGGAGGACCGACAATGGGGCACCGCGAGCACTCGGATACTTCCCCGAGGAAGTTTCATTTCGCGAGACTCTCGTCGCGGAGGGTCGTGGAACTACCCCGGATCCTCCTTGGGACCTCCAATCGTAGGTCTTAAACGGGTTTTCATTTCATTCGTTCGTTCCACTTTGGGCCTTACAAGTGACAGATATTTCTATTATTTCTCCTCGTAGGCCCAAAGTAGGAAGGAAGAGGTTAAAGGAAAGGACTCGGAGGACCGAAAGAGGTCGTACTTGGATCGACGGGGCTCAAAGGATGGTTAAAAATTTGAAGAAGGCGCCGGTGTTACTCAGAATTTTCCGTACTCGGGGACGGGGGCGAAAATAATTGGACCGCCGATGGAATCGAGGGTGTCCCACGATGCGACCAATTATCGAGCTCCCCTCTCGTCTCCCGTAGCCCGTAGGTGCTCGTAATTGCTCGATAACCATTTCGAATCGATACCCATCGGGCAAATAATTAATAGGTTCGATAACGCGGTCGATCTCGTGCCACGGCCGAGCCTAGGCGTAATCGCGTAATCCTCTAATCTTTGACAACTCGACGTTCGACTCCGTCGGCGGGGCGTTCCCGTTAAAGCGAAGCTTCGTTAAACGAGGGAGAATTACTTTTCCGTGGAGGGTAACCGAGATTCTCGCCCTTTCGAGAGTTCTTTCGCGGACCTTTTCTCGGTCTTCCATTAGCGGCCGAAGAAACTTGCGCCAACTTTTATCTTCGTTTCGATACCCGTATCGCCGATCCTTGCCGTTGTTAATTCCAGTTGGCCGTTACTTCGTTAGCGAAGGATCTTCGAACTCGGGGTCAGCCCGGCGAATGCAAACGATCCTTCGAGTTATGAACTGCGCCGGACGCGGTCGGGATTCCAACGGAAGGCCGGGGAAGAACTTTGGTCTCGAAATTAACGTCGCGACGTTTTATCCGTTTTCAGGGCGTCGTTTTCAGAGAGTCTAAATCGTTCCCGGGATCGGTCGTTAAATCGGGGATTTGTTTCCGGTCGGGGCGGAAGTCGAAGCCGCGCGGTCGTAGAGCGTAAGTTTTCAATCCTTAACCGATCCGCGGGCATAAAAGAGGCGAAATGGTTCCCCTCCTCGTAAATACGTGTCCTCGGGAGTAAGTTTAAGGATGACGACCCTCTGGCGACCCTCCGCGAGGGGCGAAGGACCTGGGCCGAGATTCCAATTTAGATGCGACGGCGCGGGCGCGGACTCCCTTGGTCGTTTGTGCGCAAATTTGCGAGAGCAAGGAGGAAATTAAGCGCGGAAAGAGACTCGCCGAGATTCCGGCAAGTTATCCGAGATCTCCGGGTCCAGCGAGCGATTCGTTACGGTATCCGGGGCACGTCGTGCCGGCGAGGATCCAAGGAAATCGCTAATAATGCCTCCGACGAATACTTTAACGAGACCTCTCGCGGAAAGGCCGAACGGTGCCTCCGGTACTCGCCCAACGCGTGCTCCCTCCTCGGATAATCGGCAATCGTTCCTGGGAATCGGGCGGACGCGAGAATATTCATTTCCTTGCAACTTTGATTATTTAGCGGTTTAATTATTCGGCTAATTACGCGGGAGCGACGGGTAGTCGATGAAGACTCGGTCGCGCCGTTCGAACTTTGCCACTCTTCCTGTACATTTCGAATAAGCGTCATTAATAGTTGCAGCGACCTGGCCATAGGGCGATGCATCGAAAACGCGACTTTCACGTGCAACCTACCCGGGAATCCTCGTCAGGATGCGGCACTTCCTCGTGCCTTGCACCGGGCCTGCCCACCGCGAGGCACGAACGTCGGTAAATATTCGTGAGAATCTAGCGACGGCGCAAATTTTAATATAATTACCACTTTGATTATTCGCCGTTTTAATTAAATCGCTAAATACGCCGAGTTTCGGACCGCTAATTACGTTAATCGCATCTTTCGCGAGCACTCGGGGAAAATCGTCGAGATCCGTAACGTGCACTTTTTCGGCACTCTTGTCCACCGGCCGCCAAGACGTCGAGCGGGGAACTCGATATAGGTCCGGTGGAGGTAACATCCGTCCCTCGATTCCAACGTATTCCGTATAAACGATCCGCGCCCTCGTAGGCTGCTCGGGTACTCCGGTCAGGTGCGGGGCGGCGCGGCACGGATGCGTGTACCGCACGTAACGCGCGCACATGCGGTATATGGACGCGGCGGTGGCGAGCACCCGCGGGTACGGGATATTGCGGAGGAACGTTGCATAGTTAACGGGTAATCCATTACCGGAATTAATATCTGGAGCAAATTGCGTTTCTCCCTGTATTCCGGCGACACGCGGTAGCCGCTGTCAGTGGGCCATTACTAATTCAGAAAGCGGCCAGCCCGCGTCCTTTTATGACGGCCACCGACGCGACGCCCTTTGCGTAACCGAGCACCGCGTCGGTTCTTAACCCTTTAATCCGGGCCCTTTTTCCTCCGGGCTCAAAGAAATCCTCTTAGTCCAATTAAATTGCGTCCTCGCGATGGCACACAGGAGGGATTCCGCTGGACGGCGTCCGATGGGAATCGTGTCCGTTGGTCCGGAACTCGTCGGGGCCTTTTCGCGTCTTTCCGGCTCCGTTCCTGGCCGAAAACCCTACAAAATGGAAAATGGGGTGTGGAAATCATTCGGAAATAAATTTGCGAGCAGAAATTTTCAAGGGATCGAATTTTATGGTGGTTACTTTTTTGGACCGGCAGAAATTCATAATTGCGGGAGAGGGCGACCGTAAGTTCGCTCGCGCGGAGATAGCGGAGCATCCTGAAAGTACGATAGTAAGAAATAAATTGTTTCAAGTTTATTGCCAAGATTTCACGGGGTGAAATATCTCTGAGGTATTGTAGTGCCCGACATTACTCATTCGCAGATATAAACTGGTCGTTGGGTGGAGAGGACGACGGGGCAAAGCATCCCAGGAGAGTTCCGTTTTATTACCTCGCAATCTATTGGCCCAATGAAATATTTATCGTCCATGACTAAATTTGTACATATCGCGTTCGAGGAGCAATTTATGAAAGATATCTCGAAAGGGCATCGAGTCGCGGGGAGTCGTCGCGACGACGGGGGAGAGGAGATTTTCGCGGATAACGAACGAAGAATGTCGGAATTTTCGGGGTGTCTCGATCGAGCGTCGGCGTTGCGTCGGCGTTGCGTCGGCGTTGCGTCGGCGTTGCGTCGCGGCCCTTCGGTTCCTCCCGATTCCGGGGCGCGCGCCAAGACGCTACCACCGGCAATAACCGGCAACGTATTACCACTTCTGGTCGGTTGAGCGCATTTAGATCGCCTATTTGGCAAGGCACTGGAATAATTTTACGTTTTACTCCGGCCGCGAGGTGGCCGCCTCCTCCACCGCGTCCGGGCCGGTCGCGCCGAGGCGACGCGGACCGGAAGATCGGTTTACCGTTTATGCGTTATGCGTGCGCATAAGCAAGGACGCGATCGCGTGCCCGTCGATCCCGGGCGGCACGGCACGGTCGTTTCGCTCCCCTGACCTAATCGCGAAAACCTCTCCCCTCCTGGAGTAGACCCGCTTAAGGAAGACATTCCGAGGCACGTCTCCCGAAATCCGAGCCTTATGGAAAACGAAGTCGCTCCGCTCGGACGTGGCCCTGGAATCTCAGCTTTTGTCTCGGTGACTCGGTGACTCGGTGACTCGGGTTTCGAGACGAGTATCGGTTTCTCGCTCCCCGTCCCGGTTACGGCTCGCGGCGCCGTCACGCCGTACCTTTCGGCATTAAACGTCCGTACGTTCTTCCCGGGGACCGCCGAAGTAGCGATTTAATTAGTTTCCTAACGTTTGACTTAGTATATAGAATTAGCGACGGGGCAAATCCTGGCGGAGTTTGCTCGGGACGTCTTTGTCCCGGATGGTTCGTGGACATGCAAATGACCGTTGCAAGGGAAATTTCCAACTTTCCCTTCGCAAGCTGTAACGGCTTATTTGGGTTAACTCGCCTCGTGTACATATTTGACCGCTTCCATCCACCGAGTCGAATAACCCATCGCGAAAGTATCAAGTAATCCGCGCATCCGCCCGCAAAGAACCGAGACTCCCGGGTAAATAGAGTTCCGACCCGGAAAGCCGAAGAAAAATACCATCGCCCCGAGAACGGCCATGCTGCTTTTGGATGGAAATGCCGTTTAGCAATTCCGTAGATTACCGAACGCCCGCTTAGCGAATCTCTTCGCTTACGGGTCTCCCCGGAGGGGCCCGTTCCGACCTCTCGGGGCGCTTTCTTCTTACTTCCCGCTTTAATACGAGCTCAAGACTTTCCGATCGCGTCCACGTCCGGACGAAAGGCCGATCGCCGTTCGGCTCCGATGAATTACGGCCTCGAGACGGTCCTTAATAATTTGCCCCTATTTTACCGAATTTTAGGAGGCGGTCGCTTATGTCGGTTAACGGGTTAGCGCGGGCCGGCGAGTAGATGGCGTTCAACAAGTCGCGACGCGCGTCACGCCGACCGATCGATTATTCGGACGGTGCACGCGGCCGAGCACGCGGAGGTGACGCCGCCCGCGTCTCCCGAAATTGGGACGTCGTTGCGTCGCGATTTGCGTTCGCGGCGGACGTTTTCCCGTTCCTCGCCATCGAGGTCGCCGCTGCGGTCGCGACGCGATTCCACCCGGGTGAAACCGCGGCCCTGTGCTGAGAAAAAAAGTTGGTCGCCTCGACGAAATATGCATCGCCGCATTGGTTCAAATCGATGGAATCAATTCCTCATCTCAAGAAAATTATTGTTTCTTGCAATTGTAACTCGGGCAACGATGGATCTTCATTTCGGTCGGTTAATTTTTTTTTTTCTCAGTGTACGTTTCCCTTCGGCGAATTATTCTCATGGAAACGCAAGAAATTACCCTCACCGGTTTGAACGTTAAGCCCGGTTAGGAGCTTTCCGAGTTTACCCGCCAAGTATCCCATTCGGGGTGTAAATAATCGGGCGGATGGAGGGAAACGCACGAGGCGAGGTGTTTTACAAGTTTCGGCGGTGAATATGGTTTTAATTAATTGACGTTTGAGCAACCGGCAATTTTCGCGCCATTTCGAAGGGCAAAGCCATGAATAGAGGCCGGTATAGAAAACTCCCCGTTTCAAAGTGGTAAAAGACCTCTGCTCGATTCAGTGGCTTTTTAAATTGTACCTTTTGACGCTAGTTAACCGGGATTAAGAGTACCTCGTTACCGGGCAACTTGGGCGAATTGTTGGTCGCTAATTTACGACGGAGGGAGATGGCTTTGTTTGGGCGGACCGTCGTCGCTCCTGTCGTTCGCGTTAAATCGCGAAGCGATTCTTCCTAGAATATTCGCGTTACGTCGAAGGCATTCCATGGGGCGGCGATGCAACGAACGGCGTTCCCATAGGTTTTTAACGACGCCAACGATAACGCGACCCGGTCGCTTAACGGGAACCGTAACACCCCGATCGACGAAAATCCGGTCGTCGCGTTCAATCGCATCAATTGCCCGAGCGGTGATAATTTGATCGCGACGATCGGTCGAGAGCAAGTTTCTCGACCAGTTATCTCGGCGCGGTCCATCGCTTTCGACGCGTTTGGCTCCCGGGCTGCGAGCTTTGCGTCAAAGCGGTCGTTCTTGTTTGCAAGAGGCAAGCAGCGGGAGTCCTAATATCTGGTATTACTCGAAGCGCCGCCATAATATCGGCCGAAAGGGGACGATCCCGATATCCGCGCGCGGCGTCGCTCGAGAGAAACGAAACGTCTTTATTGGAGGGTTCGGCCACCCCGCGCGACGTTCAATTAGCGACATCTGCTCGAACGCTTTTAATAGATTTACCTCCCAACCCATGACTTACGGATCGAAGCATCCAATTTCCGGTCCCTTGTCCCCCGCGGCGGGAATTCCTGCATACGACGACCCATCGATCGGCCAGAAACTAATTCTTGCCCCCCGCGAGTAGTTAACGTCGTCCGCTCGGATATTTCCGGGATCCCGGTCCGTCGCGGCGACGTCCATCTCGGCGCCCTGCCTCTGGGGAGCGTCCTCCGCCGTCCGATCCCCGATCCGTCGACTCCTCCCCGCCGGGAGTCGATCGGGTCGGATCGATCCGCGCCATCGATCCCCGCCGCCACCGGGGTCCCGTTCGGCGGGGGCGGTGGGCGGCCGGGAAGGAGCGGAAGGAGCGGAGCCGGGAGCGCGTGCGCCCGGCGGATCGATGCGTCGCTCGGTCTCTCTCGGTCGGGCCGTATAAAGCCACGGTCCTCGGAGGGGGCGTGCGACAGTTCGCGATCGCATCCGGAACATGCGCCAGGTGGCGGGTCGGCCGGTCCTCGCGCTCGACTCCGCCGCTGCATCGCCGTTGACGCCGCCGACGTCGCCGACGTCGCCGACGCCGCCTCGGGCCGCAGTGAATCGGTCCCGCCGACCCGGAGGTCGCCCCGGCCGCCCGGGCCGCCCGGGCCGCCCGCTGCTGGGATGAGGCGGGGGCCGGCGATCGTGCCGCGCTCTGAGACTCGCGCCCGGTTCGTCCAGCTCGCTCGATAGCGCGCCGGCGTGCCGCCCGCGCGCGCGAGAGAGAGAGAGGGATAGAGAGAGAAAGAGAGAGAGAGGGAGAGTGCAGTGTCGAGTGAGTCGCGCGCGCGCGTCCATCGAGGCGACCGGCGCGCATCCGGTTCGCCGATCGGGACCCGGGGAAGAGGGTAGCGTGCGCGGCGGTCGCGCAACAAGTTAAGAGCCGCAGCCATAGCCGCAGCCGCAGCCGCAGCCGCAGCCGTCGTCGCCGTCGCGATGTGACATGGATGCCCTGACCGTATCCTGCGCCCTCGTCTCGACGGCCCTCTACTGCGGAACCCTGTACGCCGGATTCGTTTACGATGACCGGTGAGTGCGGGGGGCGAACCCGATCGCGAGAGGGGTGGCGGCACACCCCGACCCTCCGCGACTTCCAGCCGCGGTCGCGCTCGCGGGCGACTGGTTTTTCGTCCGCATCCCGCGCACATGCCCGGTCCATTAGCGACGGGGCCAACGGCCACCGCAATTAGGCCCATCCGTATTTTGCGCTTTCGGAGTGAGGGGCAGGGAGGAGCGTGGGAAGAGGGACTGGCCGACCCGGGAGCGGAGGCTCGCGGTTGCTACCTACTCTTTCGACGGGCCCGACCGTAGATTTCGGGTCGCCGGGCATCGAGAGGACGCGAAAGTGGCATCCGAGAGGTCGATCGTTCGAGAGACGCGAATCGGTTCTATCTCGGCACCGCGAAGGCGGAGGCCGCGAGGAAGGTCGAGATCCCCGTGAAATTTCATGTTTTAGAAAAAATGCGTATCGACGAAAGTTTTGAAAAATTAAAGGTTCGGGTCGACTCGGTACCCCCGGTTCGGCAAAGGTTTCGTCGAGGCCATTTTCGAGTCACTTTAATTCGGAGAAAGGAAAGGCGACTTTTGAAGGAGGATGCCCGGCGAGAGGGTGGAGGGAGAAACGATATCCAGCTTTCCTTCGCAGGGGAAGGCGAAGCTCGCCAAGCCGGCGAGCGAGATTCGATTAGAGGACGAAACCTGTTGTTGCCGACTCTCGCTGGGGTTCGTGAAAATTGATGATCGGCTTCATAATTGATATGCCGCAATCGGGGTGACCGAGACCAATGGGGCACCGCGCTTCCTCCGTTCCTCCCGACGGCGTGGTCCATCCGTATCTTTGAACTCCCCGAGGGGAGAAGGGAAACCGGATAAAAATATATATTTGGGGATAATAGCGGGAAAGCGCTTGGTCGCGTCGGTTCAAATGTAGACGATGCCTCGGGACGGAAAAGGAGAGAGCTCGATCGATCGGAGAGCGTTATCGATCCCTGTCTACTCGAGTTCGAACTTTTATCGCCACGCGACGATCGGCGCCGCAATTGGCTCGCGCGATATTGCCGGGTATCTATTAAAGCTCTCCGAATCGGAGAATCGGGATCGAATTAGGAGTCGAACGCGGGCTCCGAGCTTTCCGCGGCTCCGGGCATGCGGAAAAGAAGCGCGGCCGGAGATATCGGGAATATTGCCGCGGAATTAGAAACTGGAGCGCCAAGTGGGAAGGGGGAAGGGGGACGGACTCGAGCGATACTTTTTAATTAGACTCAAATTGGCGCAACAAGATTCGGACGGAAACGAGTTTCCTCGCATCCGGGACGTCGCGGTCCGACATCTCGAACTCGAAAGATCGAGGTAACTTCGGGTTGCTCCAATTTCTCGTTCAAGGGGCGCGAGGCCCACCGGTCGTTTTGCTCGCTTTTAACCCGTTTTTGTTGCGCGCGGAGGATTCGTTGAATCGCCTCCGACCGAGAGGTGTTTCAGGAAAATTGCGCTCATTCGGCTCTTTCTACTTCCTTTCTTCGGATTATAGGCTCCCTGCCGTGATCGCCGCGTTTCGTCCCGAAGTGCCTAAAGTTGCAGAGGGGGCAAATTCGCGCGATTTTTCAGACGGATAATTTTTTAATCCTCATCTTTTACATTTATTCCCCCCCCGCCGAATGCTCGCTCCAGATCCAAGGGCATTTCCATGGGGGAATATTCGACGGACGTGACCAACGCGTTCCACGGACGTGCACACGACGCGCGAATGGCCGGTCTCGAAAGTTCCGCGAGAATTCCTGGAATATTCCGTAAATGTCGTATCGATATTCTACGACCACACCCTTTCGCGAAATGAGTATTCCCGGAGAATGCCGTGCACGATCCTTTCGACTTTACGGCCAGCGCGACGCCTCCTATTTTTCTCCCCTTTGCGGAATAATTGTCCGGAGTCTCGATACCTCGGAAACGAGTCGAGACTCCAACGCAACGGAATTGGTGCGGAAATTTTACCGTCTGCGGAATCCGCGGACCCTTGCGGAAAGGAAGTCTCGAGGATTAGGGGACCGCGGGTCCTTCCTGGGATCTGAAAAGTTTTTCGTGCGGTGGCTTACTCCACTGGCGTTGCAACCAATTAGTGCACAAGTTTTCCGCCAGTTGGAAAATTCCCTCCTCCCTGGAACGTGTAGCCAAGAATACTGCCAAAGAGACGCGCACGGGACACCGATAATCCTTGGACACGTCCCAGGGGACCCGAGCCTGGTCTAAGCTAAACCAAATCGCGACCGGTATAAAACGAGTCGACGACTTAACCTTTGTCGCCCCGTTCGAGGCGAGGGAAGTCGTATTTGCCGAATGATCGCGGTCATTACGGCGGCCGGGTCTCGCTTCTTCTCTTGCCTTATAATTGGAAGGCCAACAAAGGTCGCTCGATGCCGGAAAGTACCGTGGATGCCCGCCGTTATTTACCGAAGCCCCTGTTAAGAGCACCCTTCGGTGTCGGGGTCGGGTGGCTAAACTCGAGGGAGCGAACGAGAGGGAAGGGCGTCACCTTATTATTTTCATCCCCTAACGCCGGGCAAACATTTGCATAGGAGCGCGGAGACCCCGCCGGCGAAAAGTGGACCGCGGCGATCCCGGATCTCTCAGAATCCGCTCCGGATTCCGGGAGATCGTGGATCCCTTCGCGAGTCGGGCGAGAAAGGACTACCGAAAACGATCCCCCCTGCCCCGAGAAGAAAATTTCATCGAGGGGGAAAAATTAGTTTCTCGGGGTGGAACCGCGACCGCGAGTCGAGGAAAGTCAAAGCGGGAACGAAACTACGAGGCGGCCGGGGAAGTTGGCAGGGCCGCGTAGCCCGCGGTGAGCAAAGTGACGAGCACGTCGGCGAAGTTCGGTCCGATAAGAGACTCGGGCCCGAAGGCGTCGCCCCCTCGGACCGCCGGCTTTGCCGATTGAATTCGAGTCGGGCAAGAACGTCGAGATAGGAGACGGGGATTCGCGAGGACCCGCGGAGATGAAATCCGGATCTTCCGGTAGATTACGCCGCTGGGCGGGATGAATCATCCGAGCCCCGTATGGAGAAGTCCGTCCGTGTATGGACTCTAACGAGGTCGTACGGTGGCGGGGCGAGAAGCGAGTAAGGACCCCACGGAGACCCATAGCTTCTTGTCCGGCGATAAGAGGGGTCGGGACGAATTATTGGCGCCTTATTCGAAATCCACGGGGATCCCGCGGGGGATCCCGCGGGGGATCCGCTAATGGAATCGGATGCCGTCCCCGGAATCTTTTTTCCAAGCAAATTCTTCTTCGATTGGGCTCGACTCCCCGCAGGAACTCGGACTGGGAATTTTCTACGGGCCTCTGGCAATTGGCCCGAGGGAGCCGAGCGAGCGGGCCATCGGGGAGGGGAATTGGAAATGAGGCACCGATATGGCTATCGGTATTGGTGTCGATACCCCATGAAATCCGGAGATTTGCCGCCGGGGAACGTGCCGACGCGACGGATACCCTCGACCTGGCTTTTTCGAAGACTTACTCTCGAAGGTGGCAAACGAGTCCGTTAAACCGTCCGCGTATATTTTTATCTATTTTACGAGTAGCCGAGGGCGGCGCTCCTTTCCTACGATTCGGAAGTATTTTCACGTCGCGACATTCACTCGGCAGCGATAATAGCCCGTCAAATGAGCGAATCGAAAATCGAAACCGTGGAGAGAATTCTTGGTGGATTTCCGAGCGATATCGCAAAATAGATGCTCCGGGGTGAATTACACCCCGGCGGACTTGCGGGATTAATAAGGGGGTCGGTGCCTATACAACCGGGCTATAATGCCGGCTAATTGAGATCCCCACTTTCGATTCGAACGGCATTCACCTTATTTTGAGGAAAAGTGGGCCGTTTTAATTGGAGGGCACGAATAATCCGCCGTACACGCTCGGGGGAAAAAAATGTCGGTTTCCGCGGATCGGATTAGTCGCGATATCGACGTGGTCGGAAAATGATTATACCGTTTAAAACGGTTCAGAGAGAAATACTCGTTCGTTAACCTGCGAAAAACGCGACGGAAATATTTTTTGCCCCGAAGAATACGTCGATCCGAGAGCGATCGAACCTCCGCGGACGAGAAGAGACGTCCGAGTATCTTTATGGAACTCCGAGCGCAACGTTTTCGAGGAGCGAAATGCCGGGCGATATCTCGCAAACGGAAACGTCTCATTGTTCACGTTGCAACCCAGAAATGGACGTTTTCATCCCTAGCTGATGAAATCTAGTGCAGCGAACCCCCAACCAAATCGGATAAATCGATCCCCTGTCCTGCCCGCGTCCCTCGTTTGGTCGAAACGCCCAAAAATCTCATTACTTTCGTCGTCGCCGACGCGATTACGCGGACGGACGCATTATTTACGCGCGGAAATTGCAGGGCTGCCATAGGGCTAAACGCAACGTTCGCGGTCGAGTCGGTACGAACTTCGTCCCTGACCGAAGCTCGTTCCTCGTTCGTTTCTCGTTTGTTCCTCGTTCGTTCCTCGAGTTCGAGCTCGCGGGCACGGATGGGCTTACAAGGTGTGCGGATGTGTCTACGAGATGCGGCCTGGCGGAACATCGGCGGAATGGCCGGGTGCCGTCGGCACGCAGCGGAGACGGGTCGCGATCCTCCTTCGACTATGGCGAATTTACATTCCATTACCCGGTTGAATATTCACGGCTAGACCCGAGAAGAGGGTCGCGGTACTTAATCCGAAGCTAGATCGAAACCGTTGCGGCGTGGCCGCGCAGTCCGTTTCGGAGTGGTCCAGGGAGGACGATGACAAAAATAATCGTAGACCGAGAAAAAGAATTAGTTGACCGAAAGAAATATATACCGTTGCCCGAATCGCGCATAATTGCCCGAAACAATTATATACGGGTGACCGCAGGATTTTCGTGTCGCAATGCGCATCTCTTGGAGTCGAGCAATTTTTTTTTTTTCTCGACACAGCGAATCGGGATTAGATGTCGGCAGGATCGCAGGGAACGACCGCGGATGACCGGGGTTATCGTTGCGGCTCGAGA